GGTTGGTGTTCATGCTTGACTGAGCTGGAAAAATTCTTACACCTTCTGAAGATCGGTCTCATCACCTCGGAAGGTAAACAGTGCATCAAGCTCGTGGGCTTGAGACTTCTGAGCCCGGATTCAGGATCTTTGAGTCCGTATGCACAGAAATGGAAATCCCCCCAGGTCACGGATGGATCTGAAAACAATTGTTGCATGCATTTCAGATACCATATCCTGGATGTCTGAGGATTTTCAATAATGAAGTATCTTCTGTGCTTCAACTGATATCGCGCAATGGAAGCCACAAATTCAACCATGGGAAGGTAGCGCTTTCGCTTCTCTCCAACTTTCTGTTGGTCTTGCTGGATGTTCTGCATGTTTGACCACGGTCCACAGACCGGTGCCATAAGGATGACATCAGGTGCTTGTTCCCTGATGATCTCCATGACCATGTGACGTCCCTTGGATGTCATTACATCGAATCCTGTGCGGATGTCCACGGGAGTCCCAACCTTAAGACCTGAGAGTGCACAGCGTTGACTGAATCCGGCACTTCCTGCAAAGATCTCGAGAACGTGTATCTTTCCCTTACGCACACAATTCCAATGTGCTTGTTCAGGAATGGATGTGAGGTCCTCGACGAACATGTTCTCTGCTGGATGAGGTACTGCAGGTTTTGGAGTTGTTTTTCCCGCGATGCGTAATGGCACTGAGGATCTTGGCTTCGGAGCTGGGCGGATGATTCCTTTTTCTTGGAATCTGCAGAGAAGCCTGGTTGCTCTTTCTGCAGGGATTCTCGCTCTTCTGGTAACAGAAGATCAATTCCGGGTTTCCCCGGAGGGATGGTTTCATCCTTCCTGAGCTTCGTCATGTTAACCTTGATGAGTCGAGTCCCAAGATCAAGTCCTACCATCGCTCCTTCAATGGAAATGACCTTTCCTTTTAGCCATATTCCTCCCTTGCTTCCATCGGAACGAATCGTGGATTTGTCTTCCTGCCAGTAGAATACCTTGTCCTTCACCTGAAGAGGCTTTGAACTCATTCGGAGATTTTGAGCAAGGTCTCGCCGGATGTCCTCGGATTGACGTGCTTCTTGGAAAGATTGCTTTGACAGCTGCTTGATCTGGATAGCTGTCAGCTCTTCTTCATTCCTGTCAATCGTCAACTGTGTTGGAGTTGCGACATCAAGTTGGATGAGATCTGCTGGTCGTCTTCCGAATGCGAGTTCCAATGGGGTTACACCCTCGTAGGTGACGGTCTGATTCCTGACAGTTGCAGCGGCATTCACCAGTTGCCTGTGTGTCACCTTCTTCAGTGTTGCAGGTGCTGTACCTGCCTTGATGGAACTTAGCATGATCTTGAGTTGTGCCTTCAGGAGTCGAACTGCTGCTTCAGCTCGATTTGGCCATGGTGTATTCGGTCCCAAGGATATCGGAGTGATGTCTAAGGACTGATAGAAATGTTCCCATGTATCTGTCATGAAGGCTTGATCTGCGACAACTGATTTGGGCTGCAAGTGGTACTGGTCAAAATAGTTCCTGAGGACAGTGATGTTCTCGACTTCTTGCGTAGTTGTCACTGCTTCTGCAGTGAGCAATGTTGTTGCTCCATCCAGGATGACAAAAACAATGATGCATTCTCCTGTTCCAAGAGGAACCTGACAGTGATCAATGAATGTCATGTCACCAAAGATGTCCGCTCGAATTCCGCTTGTCTTGCTTCGTGATGGTGCATGTTTTGCCGCTTGGCAAACTTCACACTCACTTCGGATTTTGTCAAATAGATCGAATGTTGATTTCGGCAAATGAAGTGCTCGGGTTCTAAATCGAAATTGATCTGTCGTCATGTGATGATGCTGCAGGTGGAGCTTCTTCAACTCTTCGGGATTTGACAATTTCCGAGGGCAAGCGGAAGCGATGTTGGATCTTCTGAGGATGGTGCGAAAGGATCTGGCTCAATAGTCGACCGGCCCCTCTTGTCGATGATCCTGTCTGCTGCCGATCCGGAACCTGCTTCTTCGTCCTTAAGCGAATTGTCCGCGAAGGTGAAAATGGTCTTACCTGTCCACAGGTTGATCAAAGGTTTGTTTGCCTGGGACGTAAGTCTCCAATTGTCTTCTAGGATGTCTGGATCTCCGCCTGCGGATGCATCAATGATTTCCGTAGTACGTTCTCGGCTGATGCGATCAGCATTGATTGGACATTCCTTGGCTCCATTTGGTGTGAACAACGCCTTTCGAGGCGTGATGTGCGCACGGATGAGCTGCTTGTTCTTCTTGTCAAGGATCCAATGGTCCTGCTTTTGAGACCCAATGACCTTAGGACTTGCTAGGTCCTCCTTTGTCTCGGATGATTTTGCTGCACAAACAGTTTCACTCTTGGTGAGATCCCCGGAGGGAAACTTGATGCTGTTATCATCGTCATAGACATAGTTGATGAGGCCTTGGCGAGCAATTTCTCCATGTGCCTTCACTCTTGCAACTCCAGCGAGATCGACGAGCGCATGTCCTGTACCGGATACTGGAACTGCTTGACGGTTCACGCCAAAAGCCTTGCATGTGATCTTGTCACATTGAGGTGTGTGCTCGATGGTCATGTAGAGGTTCCGCATCTGGCTGATGCTGAGAAGGATCGGTACAGTTCCTTGTTCAAGGATGTCGATGTTCGTACTGCATGGAGGAGTTGTGTGATATCGAAGATGCAGGGTCCAATTTACCCTGGCTGTCTCTCCGTTTGCAAAAGTGAACTTGGTCTCGGCCGGAATGTACTCGTAGGAGATGATGTCCTTCATTGGTTCGATGGCCTGAGTAAAACGCTGGATTGCATGCCAGCTGCCCATGGATCTGGTACATCCGTTGTCCAGGATCGCATAGGTCGGATTGTGCTGAGGGTTGATGACAGGCGCCATCAGCCTTGTTGCCAAAGGCTGTGATTTGTTGTCACGGACAGATTGTGTTCTGAAACTGCATCTGATTGGATCAGCTTCTTGTGGATGGCCTCTTTCTCAGGATGCGCATATGCATCATGGAATGCCATTAACGCTTGTCCGCTGCTGGATGTCTCATGGGATGAGTACCAGCCATGTTCGTTCCATGTCCATGATTGATCCCAATCTTGGTCTGTCCAACCGGCATAGGTAGGCTCTATGGATGGTGCAGTCTGCTGGATGGCGGGCTGCTCCTCCGTCTTCTCTGCTGTGGCTGCGAACGTCTTGGATTTACCTTTTTCCTGTCCGCCTTTTCCTTTGCCATTCTCATAGGATGGATAACCTTTGTTTCCATCAAAGGGATATTGGAATCTTGATTTTCCTTTCCCTTCTTTCCTTTGCCTTTTCCCCAATTGCCTGGTCGTAGGGATCATAGTTTTCGTTGGCCATATTGGCCGTTCCGCCAGAACCGCTTTTTCTGAAGGGTTTGAAGCCACCTCGTTGGTGACTGCCCTTTTTGCTTCCTGATTTTCCTTTTCCTTTTCTCTTCTTGAACTTGAAGTTCCGCCCCGACACTTTTCTTGCTATGAACGCATCGTTCTCCTCGAGGACCCAGAACGTCTCTTCATCGTTGTTTGACATCCTCAACCCAGAAGCCTTCTTCTCCTTCGTGTTCACCTTGTTCGATGATGAAGAACGTGTTGCTTCGGCTGCCTCCTTGAGGTCGGATGGATGGATCTTGGATCGATGTCCTCGTCGTGATGAAGAGTTCATGGTAATGCGTCTTCAGCATCTCATAGGAATAATTCTCAAGTGAGATGTTCCTCGATGACATTGCACTTGTGAGTCTTTCTCTTTGTTGATCTGACAACTCACTTTGAATAATGAAAAACTGTGCAATGAGATTATCCGCGAAGGGAAATGCGTCCCGCTGCCTGTCCTGCATTCCTTGGGTGTACTGTCTGAGGACTGTCGGATCGTCCTCATTTAGCAGGGCTGGAGGCGGTGCTCGAACACCGGCTGCTTGCTGATGTTGAGCAATTGTTCTTGCATTTGCGTCCTGTACGGACTGTCGAAATGATGGGGACTGTGCCGTAAAGATTGGCATCAAGTCCATCCATGCTGCCTTCAATCTCATAAGAAGGATCTCGAATTTTGAGGTAAAAATGAGGAACTCTTGGTTCTGCCTCCGATGATTGAAGAAACTGAGGAGTCTGTGCAGATACACGTTGGTCGCACCTTTCAAAAAGTACTTCTTCAGCGTGTTCTTGAAATAGCTGACTCCTTCATCAGGATCTTGTAATTGATCATTCTGGAGGACTGCCTTATACATGTAAGCATCTCCAGTGAGTCTGCTGTTAAGCAATGGACCTCGCTTGGATGCTTCTACTGTGGTGATTGTCACCCAGTCGTCCACGAGTTCCTCGTACCTGAACCAGCTGACTTTTCCGTCGTACGATGGCGGCTGCTTGGCGGCCATCGATAAATTTAGTGTTTCCTCCGTATAGCTCGGCTTGGCCATACTTGAATAGGCTTCCATGAAGCCTTCTCCATCGGATGACATCTTCCCTTGCCCACTGCCCCAGGTGCCTATCCCAGAAGGGAACTGGTACCCTGTGGTAGTAGAGGTCTATTGTTGTTGGTCCCTGGATCTATTACGGAGAGAGTCCAATATGCCAATAATGGATGATTGGAGGATGGATTGTCCCTGGTGGATTGTTCTGTGAATGATCCTGTAAGCGGCCTGCAATGGCTCTTTTGTCTACACGCTCGGATGATCGTGATTCTGCAAAAGGGGCCTTGAGCCAAATGTTGCGGGAGATCAATGGTCTGAAAACAGAACACAGGGGGCCCCCCATTTATTAATCATAGGTCAACATTAGCCCTTACTATAACCTGTATGAGACCAGGTAATAAGAACTCCAAGAACTGAGCCACCTGCTGAACTAGATGTAACATGCTATAAAGGCTTATACAACCCTGAGTATGACCCCAATTCAGCCAGTTCGGGACCGAACCGCCTGCTAAACTGGCACTTTGGGGGGTGTCATAAAGTTGTGCGCTGCTCGGCAATCGAAGCATGGCGGCGCAGCACATCGTCCACGACATCAGCTGGTTCTCCTTGCCCACCTTCAGGCCTGCGCACGATCGCGGCCTGACCCAATATTTCGGTATGTGTGAAGCAAAACAGCCAAAAGGTTTGGTTTTCTGTTGGCCCCAAAAGCCCTCAAAATTGTGAGTAAATGACCCCTCATTTTTTCTCCTAAATTATCCTAGGTTTAGCCCTGATTCACCTGTTATTTCCAGCCCCCCCCCCCCCAAATTACTCACCATTTAATTAGGGGTGAACGTTCCCCAGAATAAGGGTATAGTCAGCCGGTATGCCACCCCACCCTCGCAAAGAAGGCATGCAACTTATTGATAGAGACAAGCCCCAACACATACCGAACCTTGAGGAGACCAGGGGACCCCAAATAGTTTGGGTCGCATCGCAGGCCTCGCTGGAACATGCACGGGCCATAGGTGCACACGCCAGAGTGCTTGCCTCGGCCACCAAGAAACCAAACTGCTGCATGTGCTGGTTCATTTAGTACCCTCCCAAAAAAACAGCAACCTGCACAGCATGAGCGGTTTGCATTCCACAACAGCTGAAAGCTATGGGGCTTTGCCCAAATAGGCCGCTGCGGAGCTCCGAAGTTCCACGCGTGCGGGTTAATGGGCTGGCGAGGTGGTCGGTTCCGAGGAGGGTTCTGGGAGCACCTGAAGAACAAACGCATGCTGTCATGGACCTTCCGCTCGCACGTTGCTTCTGGAAATTGAGGTACTAGCTTCCGCGAGGGAATTCGTGCGCACGATTTGCTAGAAATTGCAATCAGAGCAAATGTAAACCTGGTGAGAGCAAATCAAACAAAAGGCTCCCTGAAAAAGATCAAGTCGCCCAGCTCATCGAAGGTGGAGGTCTTGGAGCTATCGAAGGCCAGCGCGGCGTCGTGCACCAGCAGCGTCTCTGCCGGCTTCTCCTCAACGCGAAGGATGTTGGCCCCGAGGCACCCGACGCACCGCTTCTCCCTTTTTGGGGGGGAGCCAACGTAACCCAAAGTAAAAGCACCCAAAAAGGCAGCAAGCACCCAAATGATTTGGTGCTGCTCAAGATAAGGGTCCCCTAAACTTGATGGTTTCATGTTGGGGCCCTTTAACATAATTGAAATGCCGGTCTCAGTTGTGGTCAGTCAAGGCCTCGTTCGAAAGCGCAGTCGTAGGTAGTGAATGAAAAACCAACCTGAAGACCCAAATCGGCGCACATCCCCAAGTATGGGCCCTGGTTTCCTCCTAAAGACTCCCATCCTGGAAACCATCAGACAGCAACGCAACAAGGGTTCTTAGACAGTTCCCTATGAGTCCCATTGTCATTCTAAGCATCACTTCCTGGAGCCCATTCAAGGTATTCCTTTTGGTGGGGTGATGCTATGATCCCGGCGCCAGAAACAGAGAGGGAGAGTGGTTCACAAATACCGCGACGGGCATTGCTGGCGCAATGGTTTAGTTCTGCAGTGCTGGATAAGTATTGTTTTGCCGGGAGGAAACCGACGCAATCGGGGCCCAATAGGAGTGGCTCCAAAAGCAGTATTAAAACCAACAATCCTGTCTCAACCCGAAGGAAGCACATGTTTGGCAATCCATGTGCACCCGCTTCGCTTTAGGTTCTTTGAAGGATGTCAAAGAACAACCGCAGCTGAAAACTGGGGCACCCGTCGATCGATCCGAAAGTTGACGAGGGGCCAATGTGGGGCCAACTTGGGGCCAACACCACGAGGGGCGATGATGCGCAACAACATCTTAAACAGGACTGACATGTCGGCATTGCAACAGTGTTCTTCATCACTCTGACAATTTAACCGATGACGATCCACGATGGTAAACGATGAACACGTGCCTCGAGCTGTTTAACCAACAAGTTTTTGCCATGTATGAAACAATGGGATGGATCTGCTTTACGCTGTTTTTCGAGGCCTTCCTGCCGCGAAAGCTGACACATTCCCAAGGTGCAGGGATTCTTCTGTTCAGAACACCTACCAAACAAAACAATTCTGCAAAGCACAACGGCTGCCCCAAAAATGGAGGTTTTCTTTGAATGGCTTCCCTTTACACCAATGGTCAAAAGGGTGCCCCGAATGCCCCCTGAGCACTCGATGCCAAGGCGCAGGGCACACAAGACCACTGCCCGACTCGTCGCACACGTAGATCTCAGATTGCCACGGGTCCAAATTTGGATTAGCTTCAAGTAGGAACTGCCAAAACCTCTTGCTTGGCCGTAGTAGAGATACTGCAAAGTTGATTTTCGAGCTTGAGCTGGGGAAGTAAGTGTACTTCGCGCGCTAGACTTGTACTACAAAATTGCGCTTGTCAAGCTGGAGCTGCAGAAGTGTACTTCGCGCACTAGACTTGTGCTACAAAGTCGCGATTTTCGAGCATAGATACTGGGAAAGTCTACTTCGCGCACTAGCCTCGCAGAAGTGCACTTTGTAGCGCAAGTCTAGCCAGCTCGAAAATCGCAACTTTGTAGCACAGTCTATTACGCGAAGTACACGTCAGCTCCAGATTGAACATCGCAGCAACTTGAGGGTTCTCGGTTTCGGGGGGCCCTTATCATACAGGGTTTCGTGCAGTTCGGACACGCCGTGGTCTTTGTAGGTTTTTACCGTGCTCAACTGAACTGTCCCTTACCACCAAAATTGTTCTTTTCCAACAGTATAAACTCGGGAAGTAAGCTGCAGATTGACATGGAACCCACAAAGCCAGCATTTGCAGATTTTGGTTGAGGGGGGCACCAGTGTTGAATTCATGTCATGTTGAGGGAGGGCCGAGCTGCAGATCAATTCGTATGCACCATTTGAGGTAAAGGCGTATCATGAATTCATGCTTCATAACTTACCCAACAGCGTGAACCTTGAAGAGTGTCTTGTGCTTGCTCACACCCCCTAATCCCCCCAAACGGCCTTGCTCACACCCCCCCAAATCCCCCCAAATGGCCTTGCTCACACCTTTAACTGACTATCACAGCTTTGCGCTCAGGCAGCTTCCCTCCTAGAACTTGAGCTTCCGGTCACTATGTGAGCGTGGCGTGGCATGTGGCCTGTGGCGTGCGCAGCCTCGGAATCCTCGGCCCCGCTGGCGAATGCCCTTGGCACAAAAGATCGGATACGTTGATTGCCGAGCAGACTCTTATGTTAGCCGAGGGGCGTGCATGTGCATCTGTTCCAGCTTGTGGTTGAAGGGGATGCGCTTCTCTTGCGCCCGAAGCTCCTTGAGGATCTTCAGCTCCTAAAGTCAAGCAAAGGAAGTCCCCTCTTCTCCTCCCCTCCCATCCGCTCCGCTTCCTAAACAAAGCACAAGATTCAGCAACTCGTAAGGGTCCAAGCGCGAACTATATGCGTTTAGGCGGATCCTCCCAACTTGAAAGGCGGCGGCACCCCAAACAAACCAACAGGCCGATCACGAAGGTCTAAGCGTGTCTGGCCGGAATTTTAAACCCGCCCGTACCAACCCTTGTGTCACTTTAAACAATTCTTTCAACATGGTTGCTATGCACGGGAGGGGTGGGCCCCAGTTCCACTGTTCTAAAAGAAAAGAGACCAGAGGGCGGAATTAGAGACCTCCAGTCAAACTCCCTCTCCAGTTCAATTCCACTGCGCGCGGTCCTCACGCTCGTGCGCGTGCACAAAGGCGCCGTCCACCGTGGACGCGTTGCCAGTGGCTTCGCTGGCCATCGTCGCCACCTCTTGGCTGGACCCGTGGTGGAAACCCAGCTGTGGCTACAAAATAGTATGGTGCGTAGAAATTCTCCCAGTCAACCCCTCTAGGTCCCATTTCAGAGTCCGCAGCGGTTGCCTCTGAAGTTCCCCCGCCTCACTCAGAATGGACTCGTCGAAGTTAAAGGAGCTGTACCTGCCGCGAGCCATGATATATCAGGTCTGATCTGGGCGTACCCTTGTTACGCGCTAATTTAAGACAAAAAGCAATGTTTGTTGCCTCATGTTTTGGCACATACCCATCAATGAAGAAAGGGTTCGCCGACCAGCTCTCGAAACGTGCGAAACGTTGGCAAAGGCTTTTGGGTTCGAACGCCTTTGCCCTTGCAATGTTTAACGCGGCCACACCCGAGTTTTGCCCTCAAACAAAGCTGCGTGTTCAATCTGTCACCGTACTTAGTACGCCACCGAAAGTGACGTCGTTCCCTTTCCACGCAGGCGACACGGCGAGACAAGGGGGACACGCGGCGACACGCGCATCGTTAGTGACCCAAATCGCGATAAGTGTTTTGAGTGGACCCTTGGGGCTACATTTAGGCGATAGATGACATTCCCCTCACATTTTCGTGGCACCCCCTTTGCATAGGAAACAAAGTTTTAAAATGGCCGCAGAAAATAGACACTGACACCCACCTTTCGATGTACTACTCAGCGAGTTTGGGATGGTTTGGAGTGGCGCTGCTTGGCTAGATGTTTTCAACCCTCGTCCGGTCGTCCGGTATGTTATTTTCTTTCATTGTTTAATTGATTCGCTTCCAACTGTTCAAGCTACGCTCTGACGCACCATGCTGTAACCTCTTGTTTTTTCACACCAACGCTTGCTTGCTGGGAGCCCTTTGCGCTCGCTGGAAAAATGTACCCTGGTGAAACCCCTAGTCAATTAGAATTTGGCGCCATTCGAGCAATCGCGCAGTAAGAATCAAAGGACTTTTATCAGGGGCGCCCTGTAGCAAGGAACCGTTATCGCAAGATTCCCACCCACCCCGCTCCCCCCCACATAAGACCTTATCGGAACAAGGCGGGAGGCGGGGTTGGATGCTATGAAGTGCCAGCAATTGTGAACGTTTGCAAACGCCCGCCCAACCGCTGTTGGTGCTGCTCGGCACGCAAGCGGCCGAACCGTCCAATTGCAGGCATTTCCACGAAGGCATCGTGTTCAACGGCTTGGGCCCCGAAAGGCCCGTTAAGCCTTCAACATTGATCCTCGATGTGTTCAACGGCAGGGGGGTGCCTTGCACCCCTCAACACCTTCCAATAGCCGTCTTTGGAAAGCATCCTCGTACACAAAGCCTGTGTGTGTGTCGGTGTACGCGCAGAAAAAACCATTTTGGAGGTGTCTAAATGTAAACTGTGAGATGAAATCAATAAGAACCGCATTGGACATTTCTCCTGTCAGAAGACCCAGACGGCCCCATGCCGAAGAGAAGGATTTGCCACCCGTGCAGCATTTTCACAATTTTCCGGCCCTCACCTTTTTTCTCAAATCCACGCGCTCCACCCTCCACGGCGCAACTCAGGACCTGCTCGCAAGAGCCATTTTTGCATCCTCGACGCGATTTCCACAAGTTAGTATGACCCCTCTTGTAAGCCTGTTTCAGCTTCAGGGGTGGAGGGAAAACGGGCATTTGGCAAATCGATATCAAGTTTTATTTTTGCCTGGCAGCCATTGTTTGTGAAGATGACTCGCAATGTGCATCTCAGACAAAGACAAACAAATACCACAGCCCCGGCGGCGGTAAGAGCAAGGTTGCTGACAAACAGAAAGGGGGCCCAGACAGGAGAACCGGGCCCAGACTGGAAGGAAGACGTGGTAAAGGCAACACGAGTCGCAGGCTCTTTTCAAAGGCCAAACAAGCAGTGTTCTTTTGTGGTCCGGGCCTACACACTACTTGCATACCGCGAGCCTACGTCACTGCAAAGGGTGCCTACGCAACACAAGTCAGCTTCCAGGTGCCCACGCGGACGCCTATGCGGGCAAATGTTCAGTCCAAGAAGTGTTTGGCAGCCCCGGCTAGAAAATTGCAAGTTTTCAGCACAAGCGCAGTTCCGATTTCCACTTTGCAGTACGAGTGAGAACCCCACAGCTGTCCAAAGATATTGCTGCTAGAAAAGGTTTACGTGCTCAAAATGCCTTGAAAGCCTACGCGGATGCGGAGCCTACGGAGGGCAAAAGAAGCAAACTCCACGATACTTGACAAACAGCATTGAGCCACTATTTGTTCAGCTAAACGCCTGCGCGAAAAGCCTACACGAAAAGCCTACGCGAGGGGTGACACAACAGCCTGCGTGCTGAAGCCTACACGAGCCTACACCCCCAACCAGGACTGTTTCCGCAAAGTACTTGCAGTTCCTTTTTTGCACGAAGCCTCTCATTCGATTAAAAACCGTTGCTCAACTGGCGCAGGATATGGAGGCAAAGGCAAAACTCCTCATTCAATACGCCTGGCGGGATTCTTTAACCAGGAATGACTGCCCTTGCCGCTCGCCCACAACACAGGCGAAAAGGAAAAAGCTTCCAAGTAATGTAACAGGATGTAACAGGCTAAGTTTCGCCTCGGCCTCAGAGCCGGGCAGTGGTCAGACCCCCTTGACCCCTTTCCAAGCCGAAATGCAGGACGAGAGAAGGGAGGGCCTGATAGGTCGGGCGGGGGTCTTGAAAAAGCGTGAAACCCCAGATTTGTCTGCCTGACCCATGTCGCGACCCTACGCCCACCATATCCGCCGACCCCTTGCAAAGGGCGAGGCGCACGGGAAGGGTGGCGATAAAAGATAAGGGCGACTAGACAAGCTACTGGCAGGATTCACCAGCATCACGATAGTCATGATCAGCATCATGTCATGATTACATCATATGATTATCATTTTTTGTTGGTGACATGATACTATCATCTTAGCGTCCCCCATATCCCCAGCAACGCATGATAAGTGTCATCACCCGTGTCACAATCATCATCATCATAATCATCATATCTTTTGCTACGATGATAGTTATCATCATTGCGACGGCGATGCCGAGGGTGCAGTGATGATAGTTATCACCGTCATCATCTTCATCATAATCATCTCTGATCATCATCATGATGAGGATGAGGATGGTGTTGAGGATGATGACTGCTGGCGATGATGGGGATGCGTAATGATCATTATCATGCCTGTCAGCATCATCATCATCATCATCATCATCATCATCATCATCATCATCATCATCATCATCATCATCATCATCATCATCATCATCATCATCATCATCATCATCATCATCATATGTGCCATCGCCTCTTTCTTTTCTTGTTTCTCACATATATATATATATATAATGTATTTCGCCCCTCATACTACCGCGAATCTGCTGCCTGCAGGTTCCGGTCTGCGGCCCCGATTCAAGACAAACGCCTTTGGGCTGACCCTTTGATCGGCATCATTTAGGTGGGGATTCATGGCCGTCCATGCCAGTATGTCAAACTAGGGGTACCCCCAAAATGGGCGGTTTGCTTTATTGTTTTTCCGCAAAAAAAAACACCCGCCCCCCAGGGAAAACAACAGGAACCTATATCTGGAGGGCCTACTTTGGGGAACGCACAAACAACTGTGCTCCCGAGGAAATGTATGCAGAAGGCTTCAAAATTGGAGGCACCCCGGGCAATCTCCGAGGGCACTTGTACTTGTACATCTTCACCCACTTCTGGTCCGCGTCGCGGACCTGGCATTTCGAGATTGCAATGACCGCGAACAACATGGTTATGGTTCGAGGCGTTAGCATCCCGTGAATAAAACTCAAGTGGCTACCCGCCTCTCGTTTGGTGCTTCCATGCAACTCCATAAGCCGCCTACCAAAAATAGACTACCCGTCTTTCAATAGAAGTGTTAGCAGTCACTTTTGAGTTCTGGTTGAGAATACTCTGCCGCTGCACAGCACATCAACCCTAAACATTAACAAAACACACACACAAACACAAAAAGCACACACACACAATAAAGAAAGAAGAAAACACACAAACACACATACACAAAAGAAAGAAGAAAACACACAAACACAAATCACACACACACACAGACACATCTAGCATGCACGTATTCGCATGCCAGCGCCCGCGCACACACACACACACATCACAACACACACACAAGATTGAACATCAGCCTCCCTCAAACTTGTGCTGGAGGACCTGCTCAGTAGACCAGGTTCGCGGGTAAATTCCTGGAAGGCCGTGCGCCGGCTTCTCCACGATTGGCACTCTGTCGCCCATGCCTAGGCAGTACAAAATCGGAAGCGGGGGAGGGGGGGGGTCCACAAACAAAGTGAGGTTTAAGTATGTGTCAAGACGGGGGGAGCCCAAACATGGTGTTCCTGCGGGTTTCTGCTTGAACCAACCTGAAGAGGGTACGCTCAGCAAAAAAGCACACATTTCCTTGTGGTTTTCTTGAAAGCTTGACTCAACAGGGTACCTGTAAAAAATCAGACAGGCAGACAAAGAAACAAATTAAGAACAATAAAGAAATAAAGAAACACACAAACACGCAAGCAAGTAAGCAAACGAGCGAGCGAGCGAGCAAGCAAGCAAACACACACACACAAACACACAAACACATGCCGGCTCATCCTGGGCTTTTTCTGGCAAAAGTGAGCCGTGACAAAGGGGGCTTCTTCTTGTTGGGGTGGCCAGCTGCAACCCCTCCTAACGGCTAGCATGGAACCCACCAAAGGGTACCTCTTTGTCATCCGGCACACCCCAGTCATGCTCTATATTGGATGCGAGGGTTGTTCACCGGTGTCATGTTGGCCCCATGATTTCGGCAACCTCCAATTTACAGGTTTGACAAACGCTCGCACGGCTGACCTTGACCCACAGAGCCGCATGGGTCGTGCCATGGTTGGTTGAAAGCAAGCATGTCAATGTGAGCAAATGCTGCGCTACGGTGATGGGTATCGGCTTCTAGTGGTCTGTTGATTTCTCGTGGAAATATTGTAAGCTCATGTGTAGGGGGGGGGGGTGTTTGGGCTTCTTGCTTCCAGACTGAAGCAGGTAGTCGTGGCCCAAATTCTGAACGAATGACCGCCTCATCGCCTGACTTGCGTTGCTGTGCAGCGATTGCCAGTTTGCGAAGCTTGCTTTGACCGTCCGTCGGCAGAAGTCTCTTTAATTGGGCTACACGGGTCGGGCGCCAAAAGCCACGATTTGGGTACCTGCCAAAACAGGGTCAACACAGTGGATGTCCTTTCTACCTTTAAAGCCCCCGGAAAGGCAAACCAAGAAAACACCAAGCCATTTGTTTCTCACAGAGCGACATTCGGGGCACGACCGACACACAGCCGGAGCAAAGCTGCGAAAGTGCCCCTTCCCGAAGTTGTCGGTGGGCCAGGTGGCCTAGCGGCTGGAGTTGGCGGGGGGGGGGGGGAAGGTGGATTCAACGCGGAGGGCGCGAACAAAAGAGGCTCGGAAAACAATGGACCCTCGAACCCCAAGACGATGCACAGTTTTCTTCAGACCTTGTCACTCCCCTCTGCGCTGGGAAACAAAACGGCGCCAAATTTTCAGAATCTGGGCCGGGTACGCTAGGTCAACGCTCGCTGTGGCTGTGGCCAAACATCCTCCATGTTTTTGTTTTTGGTTCTCATGGACAGGGCTTGAAGCTTAGGCAAAATGTAGAGTCGCCCCAAAGACATTGGGCCGAACTCAAAGTACACGTGCAAATCTGGATACACAGGTTCCAGCTGGAACCCGTTTATTAACACCCGCTTAGGCCCTGCGAAATGGTATTTATTTGCCCCAAGATGTGTGTATTTGTATGTTCTCCCTTGTTTAGAGGTAGTTGAGCAAGCAGCGGCCAACAACCAAGCAACTTTCCCACTCATACGCCAGACCGCTAAAATATGGCATACCAATTGGTTTCAAAAGAGTTAAACCGAATAGAGCATTTGCTACTAAACATGGAGATTTGTTTAAGTGGACTGACTACCATATTCTAAATGTATACAGAATACAGGATATTCGCAGAGAATTTAATGTAACTAAAAGAGCGTATCTTAAATACTACTGTCAAACATATTCGGTAGTCTTGTATATTAATAGATTTGACCTCGTGGGAAATGATGTATTCAAGAATTGGAACGGACAACATAAAATACATAAATGAGGATGGTATTGGGATATATGGTGATACTATCATAGAATATTATTTGCCACAAACATTCTCCAAGAGTTCATGTTTTAAGATGTGTTGCTTTATCTTTTAAAAAAAGAGTTTCTCTTGGATAATTTGTTTATGGGTTGCTTTGTTTTTTGATGATTTTGATATAGCTTTTGCAAAATTTGAAATAGCCCCCTTTTAATTGAGTTTAGTGGCGTTTGCGGGATTTTGAAATAGCTTTTGCGAGATTTTGCAATAGCTTTTGCAAGATTTGGAAATGGCTATTGCGAGATTTGGAAATAGCTACGAGTATTGCGGGAGGGTTTGGCGAGTGCTATGTAATTGTGTTTTGTTTGTATCCTTGTTTGGTTTTTGTAGTTTCTTTGTTAGGGGTGCTTTGCAGGGGCAGGGGAGCAACAACCCAGCAAGTGTTATAGAGTATATCTAACACTATTCAAAGGGAAGGTTGCTTATTACTGTCAGGACTGATGGAAAAGAACTACTGTTCTGGATGTGGATGTTATATTGCAAGTGATTTATTTTCAGGAAAATTTAATCTTGTAAGAAATGCCGTGAATTACAAAGGAAGAAGTCAGAGATAAAGAAATTGAAAAGAGATGCGGATAAGAAAATAAAGGAAATAGAAGAAGGAGAGAACCAATATTGCTCGCATTGTAAAGTCCATAGAAAGATTGAATTATTTTCGGAAAACCACAAGACTTGTGATTTGTGTAGAGAAATCATCAAAACAAACTCACAGACATAGTGAGAAAAACATGAAAAATACATACATGAAAGAAACATAATACATTGTCAGAAAGTGTTTTATTGTTCTGTTTGTGATTGCGAGATTACATTAAAGCATAAGGCGCGGCACGAAAAACAAAAAACTATGAAACATATAGAGTTTATAAAATAGTGAGGTTAATGATAATTGAAACGGCTTAAGCGATTTTATAAAATGAATGACTTGAAACATGCTATGGGGTTTTGTGTGGTGGGTTGATAAAAAGCTGTTGGGCGGTCTGGCATAATGGGTAGGTTGCTAGGTGAGTGGCGATTGTTTCGACCAACTTACACCGGTTTTGATATGGGCGGTTGGTGTAAAATATTGCTTGAGTTTTGACATGGGCGATTGGCAATTTGGTATGAAATCTTCTGGTGGTCTGGCGTATGAGCGGGAAAGTTGCTTGGTTGTTGGCCGCTGCTTGCTAGTTGAGGGTCTCGACAACCTGCGTGGAAGTCTGAATTACCCACCCTTCCAAATGGGACAATTGTCGCCCCCCTTTTGGGTGTGAACTTTTCGTTTTATCCGAGTAGTGACTGATGGTCTTTCTCCAGGCACAACGCCATTCCCAGCCCCAAAGCTACATTTGTAAACTAAAGGGTATATCGTTGGTATAGGCAGTGGCAACATAAAACCCAATTTACAACCCAAAACCCAAGTTGACCCGCTTTGGTTGCCGGAGGGTCTTGGCATCTCTTCAGGCCAAGGATCGTCGAGGGGCTTGCGGTACATCTTCCGGTAGTTGCCTGTCTCATCAATGGCCAGCAGGCCGCCCCACTCCTCACGGCGGATTTGCTTCTCCAAGCTTCAAACCATAAACCTTGAAATCCTAGGCGATGGTAACCCGATGGTATGGAGTAGCACAATGCTCGGACAGTGGCGGTTCATTCCAGGTACAGTACCACTGGAACCGCTCACGCCCCGTGGAGAACACAAGTCCGGCGAAACCTAAAAATCCCAAAGATGGATTTCTCGCTTGCCCAAAGGCTCATTTTCTTCTTGAAATCTGGGCAGAGTCCGGGAAGCCAAAGGTTAAAAGGTCGGCTTGCTGTCGGCTTTGAGCAAGTGAGATGTCTCTAGGGTTAACTCCAAACTTTTCTGCCTAAACTCCTTGGTTGTTTTCGCCAAACCAAATCCACAATCGGGAAACATGACTTTTGAAAAGATATATTGTTGAACATAATGAGGAATAACACTAGATCCCAGCGGTTAAGCATTTCAATGTTTCGCCCCAAAAGCTGGCATGGGCGTAGTCATAGGTTTTGATCCTCCCTTCATCCCGAAACTTACTACAGCCCCGCAGTGTGTTCGAATCATGCACGCCAACAAAAGATCGACTTGGGGCCTTGCAAGGTGGAAAGCCACATCAAAATTCACTCAGCCAAAAAGGCTGCCCACAGAAAGAATCCGCACCCTCCCTCCAACAATCATAGCACACCTGTGGGAGGGTATCTTGCAAACGGTTTTCCTCTTGGGGGTACCCTGTGTCAGTTGCCATTTTAGCGGGAACAAGGCCATCAAACATGACTTGGTTATATGAATCTGTCTTTGGGAAACTCCAGGAGATCCCAAGGCTACTGTTCGCCGCCGATATCGCATGTGCTTGAAACTTGGCCCCCACGTGGGTCCATTGAACTCGTAATGGCGGGCGCTCTTGGTTGCGTGTTTTTGCCGCTGTTGCTGCACCCCGCGAGGCCCATTTGATCCGGCGTTCCTCACTCACGGGCTGAGCGCACTGAAGACTCGCGCACCTGTTGGGAGTGTTGGGTGTACCCTTCCGGACTCTCGAAATGCATATTTTGTGTATACCAACGTGGAAGTCCCATCTCCATGACTACTTTATCACTTCAGGGAGTTGTTTGGTACAGAAATCGGCCCGCAACCTTGCCTGGCCAACAGCTAGGAAGTCCGCCAAATAAAGCATGAAGCCCAGCTTGCCACATGAACAGCGCCCAACACCCATTGACTTTTGGTTCTACAAACATGGTCATTCTCTAAATGGTAAGTCAAACAGCCCCAAGTGTCTGCCTTTGATGAACTCCAGAAACAAACAAACATGACCTCAGTAAGACGGACAATGGGAGTCGGTTTTGGACGCTATGACTACGTGGACCCCTTGAGGTCTCGTCTCGTTCTCGCCGGGGGGCCACATCTTTGGTCCTGTCGTTCTCGCAACTGGTGCAACCCACCAGTTCAAGAACCTCAGCCCGTGGACAAATCCGCTTTGCACCAACTGTTGCAGGACTTTATCCATCCACTGTCCATCAATGCTTTCCGTCAATGAAGGCCCACTGGCTAAGCCTATGTACGATGGTTGTTCAAACCAAAACACGCTTTGGAATCCCCTGCCCTTTGTGTTCCCCTTATAAGAGGTCACAGTATGTCCAACAAAAAGGCCTCCCCGTTTTGTGCGTGTTGCGCCCGCTCGACCCGCAAATTGGAGTCTTTGATGGGACTGGAAGTGTCACTTGCCATTACACAAACCTACTTGGCCAGAAATCGCCTTGCAAGGGGGCCAAAACTACATCCGGCCAAAACCATAATCAAACCTGGCAGTAAAGGAACCCTCGCAAAACGTTGTAAAACAAAACAAAGGGCGTCGTGCCGAACCTGTTTCTGGTTGGCTTGGTCACCGAGTTAACTTCACTTGCCTAGATTTGGAATGAGGTCCTCTTGTGACAAGACGCCACATGCTGCTTCTTGTCAATGTTCTCCGTGTGGTGCACCGACTCAATTACGATCTCTCCAAGCCGCCTAGCACGATCCCACGGTTTGAACTGGTGACGCAGGGATTGCATAGGATTCCCCTAGAAATTCACCTGGCTGGTCGGGAAAGCGCGGGCTAGCTGGACACAACGACAGAGTGCGACCATTGCCCAGTGGGCTTGTCCCGCCCAATGTTGAGGCGAACACACCCCAGCTGGCTGCTGCTAACAGCATCTTAGTGGGCGCGGGCTTCCTCCCTTATTGGGTTGTCCCCGCAATGACTGGATGCACTTTGAGGTTCTTTGAATCCTGCCACAACAAAAGAGACAACAACAACAACAACACCGACCAAAACAACCAACATACTTGCTAAAGTCGCAAACGGGTTGTGTAACTAAGATGTCATATTGGAGATGGCTCGGGCAAAAGTGGTGAGCAACCTCAAAATATGGACATGATGCTTGGGGGTACGCGACGCGCTACCCGGAAACAATCCGGTTGCGGAGGTATGTGACGGGGAAAGTAGCATTGAAAATTCTGCGGATGCAGCTCAAAACTGTGAAATGCAATTGTCAGTACACGGGTAGCGCGCAAACACAAAGCACACTTCCAGAGCTCCAAGACCGAAAGCCGCAGCTATTTGGTACCAGCGCAGTATGCAAAGCGCACCTCTACACCTCCAGCGCGAAAGTCGTAACAGCTCCGTGCAGCCAGGTGGCGGCAAGAAGGAGGTCGCTGCATCGGGCTTGGGTTGGGTTTGTCCCGAATCCAGCAAAAACATGTACGCATCGAGGTATGCAACGAGGGGGCATGCAACCAGCCAAGCGGTGTTGTTGCGTAGGGTATGTACTGTAATGGGGTATGCACCGGATTGAATGTCCGCCACAGCTCTGCTGTATGCCCCTTGACAAGTAGACTATAATGCTGCCCAACTTCATGGCCCCTTCAAACACTACCCAACCAAAAGGAAACTGCAGTTGGCAACGGAAAATGGTCAATGCCATCCAAACAGCAATAGACTAAGTTCTGTGGTACACCTCACCTTCACCGGCCTTTCATTTGCAACGATGGCTCTGAGACAAGCACTGTTGCTCCAAGGCGCTCGGGGAAGGGGGGGCAGTTGGCAAAGGCGACCCTGTCCGAAAAGAGCCGGCCTCGCAGCTCTTCGGATGAAACAAGCAAATGGTGGAATCGCCCACAACCAAATAGGCGGCTCGTCTTGAGGCGACCCCCCCCGAAATGGTTTGTTGTATTTGGTTTCCCTGCAAAGCTTCAACAGGGGACTCCTCATCTAACTAAACCAATCATAACTCAAGGCTTGGTCATAGTCGCTCTGATACCAAGGCCGTCCCAACAAACTACTTTTCCGGGAACCTCCCTTAAGCCCGGCTTCATATCTTAAAAAGGGTCCCCTAAACTAGTTGGTTTTCTTTTGTTTCGCCTCTAAAACGCCGCATACTTTAGGAACGGCTTATGCTTCTTTGCATGAAGGCTGCAGCTTACAAAGTCCACCTCACGGCTATTAGCGACCTCCCTCTTGTAGGAGCCATGTTGTAGCGCCGTTTGACAGCCTTTGCGGGGCCTGGTGCATGTTCATGTTGCCTTGAGAGGCAGCATGAACACTGGTAATCCCTGCCATTCAGGCTGAATCAGATATCGGGGCTGTCAATTCATAAGCCCCATTTTATAGCAAACAGCCCTCATGTCTGATCGATTCTTCGCGAACATCGGGGCTGTCAATTCACAAGCGGCCGTCTATTCAAAGGTCCAATCGATTCTTCGAACACAGCACCGCGTCTCCTGCTTTATCAGTGCGGGTCCGCATGGCATCCAAAGGCATGTCATTGGCACGGAGACTTGGCTCTGAAATCTCTCCTGCTGCCCCAAGTGACATCACAGATTTGTTGCCAATCGATTGTAGGGATGGTTCTCTCATTATAGTGGCCGACAAGGGGATGCTTTATAGGGGTAAGACTTAAACCTCTGCAACAAGGGCGAACTTGTTGCCAGCTGAAAGGGAAAAGTGAAGGAAACCCAAGGCAAACAGCTAACGAACTCACTTGCCCAAAGAACCTTGAAATATAAAGTTAATATTTTGGTGACCTTAACTACATATGAGCAACGGCTTTTATTTGTTACATGGCATAATGGACGGGTGTTCCTGACTCGTTTTCCAACCCCGCGCTCGGTCGCAGCCCCCTATCTCGTTTTCCAACACCGCGCTCGTTTTATCTGGCTCAACTTTCTGTAGAGCTTGAAGAAGAGGAGCTTAAAGAAGTAAACGAGCTTTGGTTAGCTTGCCGCCTCCTTTGTCTCCTTCGTTCTTGCCGCGCAACCTTTCGCTAAGCAAACTGCTGCTACACAATTTGTTGAAAAGTAATACTTGAGAGGAGGAACTGGGCCAATACTCACTTGGACGCTGTAGGGGACTCGTTCTGAACTCGTTCTGAACTCGTTTTGAAACTCGTTTTAACATGGCCCGCTTTTGGACGGCTGAAAATTGCCCAGGGGCAAATCTTGAACAAACCAGCTACGCCGCTTCTTCGCAAGTTTGCTTCACACCCTTTTGCAGTTAGGCATCGCAGGGTTGGCCAGTACTTGCCCCGGAAAGTCTGTGGTAAGTTGCCACGGACCATGCGACGTCGTCTACTCTACACTACATCTAACAACCTTGAACCCAAGACGCTCTGCCAGGCTGCACTTGCCAAAATGTCATCCTAATCCATGCTATCATGCTTGTTTGCCCTATCTCGTTTTCGGGGTTGTTCTCCAACTCGTTCTGCAGCTAAATATGCACATTTCCCAAAAATAGTTCCAGCCCCTTGCATGTTTCCATTAACGTAAATAAAGATAGTCGCTCATATGGACCAAAACAGGAAAACACCCAAAGGTCAAAAGGTCGGCTTCGGGCAACTGCGCAAGGTCAGTTAAGTCTGGCAGTGGGCCCCCCTTTAAGTGACTTTGCTTTCTCCGTGCCAACACCCTCCCAAAAACTGCCATGACAATGGGTCGTGACACATCCGCCAAGGTCAACGCTAAAGATTCCAAAGCGATTGCAAACAAAGCACATCCCGTTGTCAGCAAGGAACACGCATTGGTGTGACTGCACCACTGTCTGTGGAACAAAGCATCAAAGCTAGTGTTCGTACTTTGCCATGTCTACCATGTACGGAACAACAACAACCCTAAACCTCCTACGACCAAACACAACAAGCCCATCAACACCCCCTCCAAACCCCCTACAGAAAGGTCAACCTTTCTCACCCACTTCCCTCACATGATAGTTGCTCAAACAAAAACACGGGAAGTTTCGGGGGTTTTGCATCTCCAAACGGATAGACTCGTTGGGGACGGGCCCCCGCCTGGGATCTTCTTGTTGCGAAGGTTCAGCTTCAGGCACTGGTGCTCCGCCTCTGTGGGCACAAAACTGCGGATGTTCTTGATCCTCGGACGCCGAACGTCAAGTTGCGGGCCCAAAAAAGCTGCTTCCGTGATTCCGTGTGACCTTAAACGCACCCCCCTCCCTACGAGTGCCACTGGTCGCTAGGCCACCGAAAGCAAAGTCTGGCGTTCTCTCTGTGAGGGTCCTGGTCAAGGTGCTCAGCGCATATTGCCCCAAAAGGGGGCGTCCAGTGAATCCTGGAAAGCTCGGAGCGTGCTTTTGCCCCCCTTCATCCACGGAAACATGCCAAAGGCAACAAGAAAAACAACATTATTTTCTGGCTTATTTGCCCCTCACACATACAGGTGGATGAAAGTAGATGGCACAATTCCCCCATTTGAGATTAGCACTCATCTGCAAGGGAATTGCACCATCTACTTTCAGCTTCCCCTCAACTGGTGGCTTGTTTTGGTGGTTTGCAGGTTGCCCTATTTGGCTTTGAAAGAACTGGGGTTCAATCCCGCAAAACACCACCCGTCGTAAAGACTCGCAAAGGCTTTCTCTTTAAAGGCACATCAGGATATCCCTAGCTCCTTGGCTTCGTTCCAACCACCAGTGCAAGCAAGCAAGCAAGCAAGCAAGCAAGCAAGCAAGCAAGCAAGCAAGCAAGCAAGCAAGCAAGCAAGCAAGCAAGCAAGCAAGCAAGCAAGCAAGCAAGCAAGCAAGCAAGCAAGCAAGCAAGCAAGCAACCACACGCGCAAACCACCGTCACTGTCGGCAGTTCAGCCCAGGGACTCTTGCTCGGCCTCCTTCTGCTCTGCCTGGTAGTCGGTCACTTCTCGCAAGTGCTCCATGCCGACACACTCCACCTGAGCACTCAAAAACTGGGCGCCTGGACCCTTAAACCATCAAAAACACATGCAAATCACCCCATAATTTTGCCTAACATGCCATGTATTCAGGCGGCCAAAGGTGACAATTTGGCAAACGTATGTTCTGCAGTTGTACCACGCAAGGCAAAATGGCGTTAATTGGCTGTGTAGCTTCTCTCGTATCGCAGCTTTGCAATCATTGCCAAGCTTTTGCACTCCCAAACCATGATGGCCCAATGCGTTAGTCCAAATGGGTATGTGTCAAAGTAGAGGGGTCAGTGGTTTCCTTTCGGTTTCCTTTCAAACAACCGTGACCCAAAAAACAGGCGCACACACACAACAGTTACCAAGCTGCTCATCCGTGCAAACATGCCATGCTGTACGTGGCTCGATTTTCCGATGTTCTGATTTTTTTGTAGCTGGACCCAAGGGAAATATCACGGCATCCATCTAGCGATCAAAGAAGGATCAGACCTTTTGGCCAGCATGGTCTTCCCGAAAAGCGGTTCAGGTCCAGCACGTGGGACGGGACTCCAGAAGTGAGTGGCGCCTCCATTCGCTCCTCCTGGTTCACCTCCACCTGCTCATCCACCAGCGACTCCGACGCCAGGATCCGCTCCTCCTGACATGCACTGCGGTTTTGGGGGCGCTGGCGTTTTGGGGCAGCTTCGGCCAAGGCTTCCACAACCCGGAGCATCAATTTCTAGTCGCTTCTCATGCTTCAGTTGCCCAGAGAAGCCAGAAATACAAGGTTAGCCTTTTGGGGTCATGAAACAGGAGTAACCAAAAGGTGCAAAAGGTCGGCTTTGGGCAACCGAGATACTATTTGCCTGCTTTTGGTCTGCATTTGAGGTGCGTTCAATTTCCTTCCAACGGCTGCCGTTTCGTAATTTTACTTGCTTTCCATGTTGTTCGCCTGCTTGGCGTGTTTTTTGTTCCTCTCCAGCCTACGTGCCTTTCCATACCCCACCAATGCATCCGTTTCCCATTTGTCCTCCTACTGGTGCACGCTTGGACACAACACCGCACGCACACACACACACAAGCTTATTGGTATGTTTGTCCAAACAAGGCAGGATGCTCAATTGTGGTGCAACACTGTGAGCATATAGCTGGGGTACATGGCCACAAGCCCCACTTGCTGAGTGGATTGGCAAATGAAAGGCCCAAATTGGTTGGCCCGGATTGTTTTCCCCCAAAGTATAAAGTCCAACTCAGGGAGTGAGAGGCCTATGTAATCGCCATCCCGTTTCTTGGGCCGACATCACCAACCATTTGGGGCAATGTTACCCCACTTGTAAAGGTAGAATTCGCCGGTGCAACAGGCTTGGGGGTTGGGCATCGAGCATCATTGTGGAAATCGCGCTTTGAATAAAAAGGCCATCCCTGTGACTCCTTTGTCACCAAAAAAGGGTTCCCCTGTCACATAAAGTGGTAACCCAAAACCACATTTTCCACCACCATGCCCCCAGACGGCGCACAAACACGTAATCCCAGGCCAACCCTCAGCTCAATGCTCTGACCCCCCCCCCCACAACCCGAGTCAAGTCACAATCAAAACCTGGTATTGAAAGGGTCCACACAAACTAGTGTCAGTGTAAATAAATAAAAGAGTGGCCACACAAATTTCTGGTTGGGACTGTGCCCTACCCTTCGTCTACCCGTGGTTTGATTGTGGCTCAGATTCACATGAGCCCTGTTCAGCACTTATTGTGTCCCCAACTGACTGACCCATGTTTTGGCCCACACCTGTAGCACACCCAGTACAATACTTACTGATTCTGCTTCAATAACAACAAGTTTTGAGCCGGCCCCAGTGTTGCTCGTAACAGCGGAGAGCCGCGAGTCCTCCCTGACTACCGCAGGGGTCTGCGGTACTCCGTGAACCGATGGCACTGGCTGGCCACGCGCGGCCTCTGAGGGATCGACAGGCCAACGGGATTTGGAGATCGAGGGGAAGGAAACCCAACTCAGACCGCACGCCTCACCTCCTTAAGTGGATTGAGCACAAACGTCTAAACTTTGTTTGTGCCACTAGAATGTCCAGGAACTTGAGGAAGTGACACACGGTTGCTTGCTCAAACCGTTCACAGGGTAAAACCGTTCACACAGTTCTCCGTGGGAAGCCAGGGAAACCACGTATTCCATAAGGATGGCATGATGGTGAACCCAAGGAATTCCCAAGGACAGCCTTGACCCAAGGCTCGGAACACCCCTAAATTGGCGTTGCACCGAGGAAAGCGACGGGCAAAGCATATTATTTTGATAAGAACCCCTTGTCAGGTTCTGAATTCCCGCCACCATCGAACGTTCAATTTCCTGCAGGGCCTTTCTGTCAGCTATGGTGGGAAAACATAGCAGGACACAGCTGCTTTCCCCTTGGAGTGCCGAACAAGTTCGAGACAACACAACCTTGTTCGGACACTTCCGTTTGGAGGAAAACCATAACATACCATAACCAAATGATCCACCAATCAATCCATATTGTATACGCCTGATTTGTGGCAACCTTTGAAAGGGCAAACCGCAAGTCTCGATCTCCGTGGCTCCGGGCCGCTTGGTCGCTGGACATCACCATTGGGTTGCTACTCATGGGCGGAAGCATATCCCCGAAGGGATCCTGACAAAGGCGCTCATTGGGAGAAAAACCGAGCAGGCTGCAAACAATCGGGACCCTCTTTCAGTTGGATAGAAAGGAAGCCAAAGGAACACCACCATGTTGATCCATTTGCGGGGTCCCCCCCCATTTTGGCAAACAAAACGATTGGTGGCAAAATAGGGTGGTTGTTGCGGTTGGCTTCATTTTAAAACCAACCAAAAGGGGTTCCCCTAAAACCACACACAAATTGTGTGTAGTCAAGCCTGAGGCTTCCTGGATGCTCAAACTGGCTTTCTGACATGCATCTGCGCGTACGATGAGTTACCTGCCCGAAGAGTTTGTTGCAACTTGAGCAACTGCATTTGCGTCAGCATGAATGCTTGTATACGACCTCACACATGTGCAGCTAAGGCGTGCCAGCTCCTGTGCATGCTTGCAAGCATGTAGCATGTCTGCATGCAATAGTGGTTGGTCAAACATACAACATATGCGCATGTGTGCAAATGTGCACATGTGCATGTCTGCACACTGTGCCTGTGCGCAAATGCATGTCCACATGTTTGAACGAGGGTGATGCATGGCTAGACAACAACGTGCGCCATCGCATTTGCTTTTCATAGCATGCAGGAAAAAAAAAAAAAAAAAACAGAACAGGCGTCCTCTTCACAAAAGAGCTCCCCGGATCCTCATGAAATGGGACTCATGAAATGGGTTGCGGTTCAAACAAACTTTCCAAATGCCAAGTGACCTTGGTGGAAACTGCAGTGGAACCATGTTTCGGCGTGATTCCATGGGGGCACCCAAGAATGCAAGAACGGTCAAACCCACTCTGAACAAGTGGTAATTCAAACCTCAACCTTGTGGCCATGAACAACACCCTGTTGACAGCTGACTTGAAAGGCAACCCCCCTCCCTCCCACCACAAATACAAAAAACACGGCTGGAGGTCCGGGAAATGGATCTCTCGAAGCTTCACGCCTCATCCACCTTCTTGTGACCGTCATAGTGCGTGGAGACCCGTGCGGCCGAGCAAAGTAGCGGGGCGACCGCCAGGAAGGCCAGGCGAAGCATTGTGATTGAAGTAATAGTTTACAAACGAAACGCGTGAGTTGAGCCAAAGCTGCAAAACCGAATCTGGATTTTCACCTCCGGGTCACCTTTGGGTTTATGTGCCCCCAAAAAAACAAAAAGCGGGCGCAACTCTAGCCATGTTTTGGAGCGCCGTCCAGTGCACTAGCCTCCCACAACCATGAAACTTGGCTCGGGGTCCTGCAAAGAGCGTGTCTCCAAGTGGGTTCCTGCTTCCAGGGTAGCGCACGCGCATGTTAGAACAAAACAAATGTCGGGGTTGTACGAAATGGCAATTGGAGAATTTGACGTACCATAATCCCAACGGTAAAATGACTAAGCCAGCCCAAATGATGGAGAATTTGAGGATTTAAAGACACGGAATGCATCACCCAGGCTTTCCCGGATGTTCGCTGGGGACCTTTGCCCAATGTAGAAGAGGCCCCTGAATTGTCTCCTGTAAGCATCACCCCAGCAAACAATTCCATGTTAAAACGGCAACCGGCATATGGGGCCCCATATGATGTTTAAGCCAACCCGAAATGGGAAACACGGACACAAACCACCCCAAATCGCCAAACCCTTCCGACACCTAGCCGCTCCACACCGGGGGATCTCACAGCCTTCAGCTGTTGGAAACCCGACGGACCCGGGCCCTTGATATGTTTGCCCGCCCCGAAGGGCGCCGACCGCCGGGGGCCTGGGCGCCTACGCCCCAAGCGCCAGGCGCAGCTACCTGAAAGGGCAAAACAGAAGAGCGAAACAAAACTGCACAAAAAACAATGCGCACGGAAACGGTTCTGGAACTTACTTTCTTTATCACCGCTTGCTTCCAAGGCCGTCGATGCTTCCCACCCGCCTCGAGGCGATGTCAAACCATATGGGCTGGAGATTGCTGACCTGCCTGGCACTCTTCTGTCATCCAGCTGATCTGTTTTCTTCGGTCACCGCTCGCTGTTGAATAGAACGCACTAACATCGATCAGCCACGAATGCATGTTGGCAAGGCAACTCAAACTGCAAAGGTCATGTCTAAAATGTATTTGCCCATGCAATTCATAGCACACAATGAGAACTACTTTGCGGGTTCGAATCTCGCCAACTCTAAACCACTGCCCTAACCAGAAAGTGTTCCAAGAGGAGGCAAAGTCTATCCTGTAAGTAACCGGCAACACTCTTTGTTTCGTTTAGAACCATGGGTAATGTAGGTGATCCTCCTGACAATCGGGCGGTCCTCCCAAAGCTGCAAAGAAGCATATGTTCCGACTTCGCATATTTAGTCTGCGCTTTGGCTTGAGAAGGGGCTCCACCACTAAATTCCAACCAATAAACATCACACCAGGCAGAATACGACATGTTTTGGGGGAGACTTCCGTCTGGTCGGGCATTTGTTGCCTTCGGTTCGGTTTCCCGTTTGCTAGCCCTACCAACAACTGCTTTCCCGACGCCAATCTTCCCAACAGGCTCAACCTTCTTAAGCAAACTCCAGGACAACGCCAAACCAATAGCAACATATTCCATTTCAGAATGCTGCGCTGCTTCTCCCTTGGCTCAATCACAGTTTGCAGTTCGTTGAGGATGTTCGCACGCACGACACGGTGAAACTGCGAAGGCAAATCGCTTCCATTCTCCTCTCTCTTGACTACAAATGGGTGTGTGAAATACATGGGGAACTTTTGACATGGTGTCATCTTGACTTGTCGCATGCGCCAAGGGTTCCCTTACCATAGGGAAACCCACAAGTCGGTCCGCCATTTTGAGAAGCCCGCAGCCATGCTGAAGCCTCTCGCCAGGTTCCGAGGTTCCGGGCATAAAGCGCAACGGCCAGGCGACGAAAAACCACGAGAAGACGGGCTAAGTCACGCTCGGCACATGACGCAGGTCTCTAACCCAAGGAGGATTAGCAGCCAATTGAAAAAGGCACCTTGGCCCTTTTTTCCAGGCGCCTTGAACAAAAATGGCGGAGGCATCAAGCAGTCCCCAACCTGGATTGGCGTAACTAAAATGTTTAGGATGTTTAGGTTGGGCAGGCCAAAAAATGCTGCTCAAGACATAGCCAAACGCCTAGAACAAGACATCACCTTGTGACCTGTAGGGAGCCTGGCCCAGTGACCTGTAGGCATGACGACATTGCCAACTCAAGCCAGCACTCTACGCCTTGCGGCATCTTATTCACGAAGTGACACAGTGACACGACACTTGATGAGCATTGAATCGCAACAATGGCCACACCATTCATGGTCGCAATCTGCCCAAGGTAAGGATAAATGCAAAATGGACAATCGATAGCAACAAGTGAATCACACCTTGACACTTGGCAGCGTTTTTGGAAACACACACACATTTTCGCCCCGAAGCAGAAATGGCGCAGGGTCGATACGGTCATAACAAGAACTTCAGGTGCCCTCACTGCATATGGATAGATATTGAACAAACAAAATAAACAGTGTCTGCGACATTTTGAGGGTTCATCTTGTGCCCCAAGGACATGGAATCTAAAAGCGTAGCTCTTTCCTTGCTGCCATCCGCATGAACAGCAGGCCTTGTTTTCTGCGGGAGTCTCACATGAGCCACGGTCAATATTCAGTGTGTTCCCAACTGACGCGGGAATTTGGTGAGCAATCCTACTTCCTTGTTTTGGTGTGTGCGCCGCCCTGTGTCATCCCCTTGACTGTCATATATTGATCGTGGCTCACATATGATGTATGGCGCGGTAGAGGTTTCGTAGAGCGCTGGACCTCAGCGCATGCGAATCGATTGGGTTGATTGGCCTCTTGGGCTTCAGGACCGACATGTTTAACCTGTAAACATCACCCCTATCAGTATCAAATGGGCCCAACTTGTGACTTTAAAACCACCCCAAAGGGGGAACTTGAAGAGGGACACTTCTGGGTTTACAAACCAGCCGCATCTGCCAATCATGGATGCTAGGCGCTAATGGATGATAGCTCCGGTACTTGGCAGAATGCAACACACACAACAAATCACACACGTGTCTGCCACCAGGAAAAGGAACGTCAAAGAAAACGCTGGGTGTTAAAGGGGTTTCGGAAAAAATGACCCGGCCCTGTCCGAATTCCTTGGACAATTCGAGCATGATGCTTGCTATTGATAGCACCCACACGGTCATTGCGCATTTGGGAAGGCGATCGCACGGACGCACGGCTGAGCCGCTGGCATGCCGGAGGTCAACATACCTCGCCCGGAGCCCGGCGAAACGAGAGCCTGGTTGACGCACTCCAAAGGGAACGAAAGACTGAGTCCTCGCATGCCTCTTGTGCTTCAACATCTCTTGGTGGCCGTTTTAAAATGAGTCCTCGTTCCTCACCAACCCCTTTGCGCCATTCCAGAACCCGAAATCCCGCGAAACAGCTCCGACCACACCGGAGACTATCTAGGCAAATGCCCCAACGCCTTCAGCTCTTCGGGAAACGCATACTACAAAATATTGATCGATCATCCGCCACACACCAGAAATATCAAACCCGGCTTGGGGACGACCACCTTCAAGTCAACACCAAAACACTAATCAACATGGGACGTCAACACAAATCCATTGAAGCTAAGCAAAAACACACATATATGTAATATACACACCAAAACACAACACTGCATCAACATAACATTTTGTCAGTCGGGGGTCCTTGAATACCCGGAGAGAGTATATAAACCACACACAGTTACAATTGCCTTGCAGTTTACGGCATATCCGTCCGCCACGAACAACCCAAATCCAGAATTCTGGGTGCTAAACAGGGGGTCTGGGAAAAACATGCCCATCCCCTTTTACTTTTCTTTGGCAAAACCGAACAAGCATGGGCTAACTAGCACCCAGTTCTTGATTCCCCCCCCCCGGTCCGCGCCTAAACCAAGCAGCGTCAGCATCATTTCCCGCAGAAAACACACGAAGCCACCCGTACTTCGGCGGAGATGAAGCGCCAGCGTAATGGCCACGGGCACCTTGCCATTTATGTTGGACCCTAGCATTGCAAGGTCCCGATTCCCTGCGTGCAAACGAAAAAAAAACCATCTCTTGCTTCATTTGGGGGTCGGCGATGTTCAATGCGAAACCCAAACAAATCAACATGTTGCTGAACAACTGGGGAAACCAACACTGGAACCATGTCGCTGGGTTGCATATGTCTCATGCACATCTCCGAACTACTGCAACATTCTACGCTTGAGAAACCTTGCCGATGGATTGTGGCCACCCTTCAGGTTGATGTTGGAACAGCACAAAAAGAAAAATTCGCGGGGGCGGCGTATTTTTTCCACACAAACCCGGTAAAAAAACAACAAATTTCAACAAACAGGAACTGATAAAATAGAAGAACAAAACAACAACGCAGCACAAACAGCCAACCAACACCAAACATCATCAAACAGCGCCTAAACAAAACAAAGTAATCCAAAAACAAAGTAATCCAAAAACACGGATTCAATGCAAGCTGTTTCAGCAATCTGATTTATCCCTGTGAATGGAAAACCGAGGTCTGAATCAGAAATATGAAATATATTGAAATATACTGTAATGCTGAACCTATTGTTCGAAGAAACGACAGGGAAGGATCGCAAGAATACATATCAACCTGTTTCTTGCCACCGCAAACAAATGACGTGTGTTCAAGGGTACCGAACGCAAAAAAAAACGATACACCTGGTTCTAGGGGGACTTGAAGGGGACCGGGACTTCTTTTTTTTTGGAGGTCAACGAAACCTGGCTGCAAAAACACCATGCTCGCCGAATACCCTGCAGCCGGTCCCAAAGTGTGAGTGCTATGTATATTTCCCTCGTCAACTGCCACTGCAAATATCCTTGAACACGAAAACTCACAGGGACTGAGCTCAGCGCAAACACTTGGAGCAAGCTGAGCAGCCCCGTGGATATTACCTTGCAGGTGCCAGGTTCAAAATGTGCAAGTGGTTTGTCAAAGCAAAAACATTTTCTGCGATGTTTGCTGGCAACAAATACAATTCTGTGGTTCAAGGACCCAACCAACATCAAGAAAATTGCGTGTCTGGCAATTTTCAACCAGTGGCCGCGAGGATCTCGGTAAAGAAGGGCATGAACAGGGCGATCATCAAGGCACCCAACCTCAAGTCTTGCGGGTGGATTTGACCATGATTTGACCAGCAAAACCTGTCATTTTTGTCGCGCCCTGCCCCCCCCCCCCCCGGCAGGCCTGCATCGCAAAAAACATCACAATGCCACAAATTGTCGATCACCGGCAAAGGGGGACGAAGCAAACGTCAGAATGCAACCAAATGGCACAGTGATGATCCGCGCAGCTCGATTGACCAATCCATTTGCCAGAAGATGCGGGTTCTCAGCCTCCAGAACTCGAAATACGCAGTACCTGAGCAGAACAGTGCCCTTACTTGATAAACAACGCGTTTGATAAACAAGCCCAATGTTGGTTTTTGGGTTCTGCCTTTCATTGTCACGTTCCCCGCCTTCATGGACAGTTGTCCGTGTCTGCACAACGCACTTGTTCCAAAATTGATCAACATTGGGCAAAAGCCGAGGTCCAATCCCAGAGATCCCAGTGCTATTGTTTGGATGGGTTCATAAAGCTGCTGGTGCCCTACCCAATTCAGCGGCTGGTCTTGAACGAGACACAGGACTACGGGGGCAGTGACCATCAAGTTGGAGACCACGGCGCAGGCCAAGCAATAGCCTCAGCGAGGTTCTTTGCCCAAACAAATTTTGCAAAGCATGCGCCGCTGGCTCAATCCCAGGTCCACATGAATGCCTCTTGCCATGCTTTCCACAGCGATCGCCCCAAAGCCTTTGCTGACAAGATGCCAAGCAGCCACCTGAGGCATGCAGTCAGGCAAGTGGCCCACGCCCCACATCGTCCCACAGGCGTTGCCCGCCCCTGAAAACAACGCTTTCAAACTTGCTGCAGGCTCGAGCATTGCCAAGTTTTCTTTTTGGTGGTTTTCATACTGAGCATCAACAGCAACAGTGTCGCAACCCTGCCTCAGTGGCGCATTCACCAGTGAATTGTATACTAGCCTGTTGTACCGAAGGGAGCCAGCAACCAACCGAATCCAGTCCTCCCCGCCCCGCGCCCAAAAAAAAAAAACGAACACCTAGGAGACAAACAGCAGAACTTCCGAGCCTCAGAACGCGGCTCAGAAGCACTTTGACTCCAACTGGCGGGTACCAACCCCGACCCAAGAGGCTGGGTCCATGAAAGAAAATCCTCCAAAATACCGTCCAAATGGTGGTTCACCCATCCAGATGTTCAGGTTAAGGGACCCTAAAAGGGAATAATCAAATGTTGTGGCTTCTCAAGAAAGCTACCTGGACCCGAGCCCCCTTCAAAATGGGAGATCGCCCCAAAAGTATAGGGTATTTTCAATTTCCCTTGTTCAAGCTTATTTTGAGGGTCCCAATTCATTTCTTGCGGTGGAATGACTTTCCTGATTTTCAAGGGCCCTCACCTCAAGTTTAACACTTGTCGGTCAAATCTCGCAAAGCATAAACCAAGAGCCATACACCATTCTGAACCACAACATGTTTTGAACACCAGGGCCCTGCTTGCTTCCACCGCAAGTTGCAAGCATCCTGTACTTACTCGACACCATGCACGCATTGCTTCAAAATGTGTCAATGTCGGCGTCGAATTCTTCCTGCACACAAGCCTGCTTGCTGATTGGTGGTTACAATCGCTAGTGGGGTAGGTGTTCCCGTGGCTATTGTGTCTGGTGCTGTGGATGCATTTTGGCGCGTGCAGTGTCGGCACACAACATCTGACAGTAAGAGCAAACAGAGTCGCCTTGAGTTGTACATGGCTATGCTTGTGGTATAACCCAGGTATCCCCAAATGCCAGATTCAACAACTGTGGACTCAGTGCCAATGCCGCTGGCTTCATTCACTAGCTCCAACTCGTGTTTGTGCTTCTGCCTAGGATTCTATTGTGGACCCCGGGTGCATCGACTCCAATCTATTGATAGAGGGGTGTTCCCTTCCGAAAGTGATGATCCCCACTAATACCAGGGACACCCCCTTATTAACAAACTGGGGTTGAACAAAAATGGTCAACATGATCAAGCAATTGGAAGACAAGGCATAACGCTGATGTACACCGCGGCTTCTTTCAACTTAGGGGGTCTTCAAAAAGCACTCATCAATCGTTGCACGATCTTTCTCGCTCAAACCGAAGTACTGCTGGTAACACGCTTGTTATAGCCCTCTGCTTCATGCACATCTCTGACTTGCGCCCGGTCGATCGCAGTAGACGGAATCGCGGTTCTTGCGCCATTTCCCGAATGGGTCTGCCTACGCTACCTGCAAAACCTTGAGGAGCATATCAAAGACGTCAGTAAGTTCCTCCTTGCTCGCACGCGCGTCCGGGCACAAGAACGTCTTGAGCAGGCATTCAGTTTTGACAGTCGGCATAGCTACCAATTGTCAAAGATTCATCTGGGCACATTACTAGAATTCCCAATTGCAACAACGGGGATCCCCAAGTAAAGGAGCTCCATTGTGGGTGAGCTCGGTCCCCCGCTACACGCATTTCCCAGATACCTTGCGGGGCTTCACCCAAACTCATGCTTCACCCTGCGCGTTCTACAATTTGTTTTCTCCCAATGTGTTCATCTGCCAACTGCCTGAGCCCCTGACCATCGATGAGGAGGAAGTGCCCGAGGATGTCGGAGAGACATGAGGCACAATGGCCGGAGACAACTCAAGTAGCATTCCCCCTAAGGGGGACAGGGGGTCCCCAATTCCATTTTCTTGGTCTCCACAACAAGGGAAATGAAACTATGCATAATTCCCGCCCCCCCCCCCCCCCGGACTTCGTCTCCCCCATCTTTTTGTCGGCCGGGCCGCTTCTTGCCGGGCACCGTACCTGCTGGCAGTTGACCAGGGCATCCTGGTGGTTCGCACATGGAGAGCCTCAGCACCCGTTTTACCCATTAAACTTTGATTAAACCAATAAGGTTAAGCCCCGTGACACATGGAAACCTAAAATGGCTGGGGTTCTGGGCACTCATGTGTGAACCATGGTCAGCTGGTTCAGTGGGCATTTCAATCTGGTAGCAGTTTGGCTGTGGAAATCATGGAGTCAGACTATGCGGCTCCCATAAAGGACATGAGAAAATTGGGGCTCCGTCCCCCAATTGTGTGTGCTTGACATGAGGTGCGTTGATACGATTTTATGTTGCACGGGTTAGGTTCTGACTATAGTGTTGGCTACGTGGTGAAAATAGAAACCCTTAAAACATGGTGGTTTCTGTTTGGATTGCCTTTGAACCAACGTACCCTCACAAAAACAAACACACACACAGAGAAACACACCCTGTTGTGCCTTTTCTGCCGTGTCTTGAGCAACGCTGCCGCGGTCGACGTGTTGTGTTGCTCGATGGGTTCCGCGTGGATTGCCCATTTGCATGTGAATGCCCTGTGCTTGTTTGCTGTATCAGTGGGAGTTTTGAGAATGTCGCGCTTCGTCCGATAGGGCGCGGTTTGCGGTGACTCGGCCATGAGCCATTTTTGCACGAGCGTGCCTTCGGCTGCAGCCTCGTGTCTTGGGCATTGCTTTGTGCATAAATTGCGCTCGTGTATGTGTGTGTGTGTGTCTGTGTGCGCACATTGCTGTGTATGGTGCATGTGTGCCATTGTGTACGCGTGGTTGTGCCAGGATGCGTGGAAAATTCTGCGCATGTTCGTGTGTGTGTGTGTGCGCGCGCGTGCGCATGCTGCAGCGCATACCTGTCAAGCAGCCTGCGCAGCTATGCGCTCGCTGCCCGCAGCATTCATGAAACCAAGACCGGGGTTGATCGCCTCAAAAAGCCCCTCCAAAAAACGAGGTTGCTGCTGGCCAGACAAAGCAGGCCATCAACAAATCAACAGGCGCCTTCGACAGATAATGCTTCCTGACACAACAGACGCGGGACAGCCGGCTGTGGAGCAGCAACCAGCACTTACTTTGTTTGCGCCCCTCAGTGACCAGGGCTTAGGGCTTGCATAGCCCAAAAACTGCAGACATGACCGATCAGAGCAGTACAAATGTAAACAAATGTAGACAAATTGGACCATTCCTCAAGGCACGTGGAGAGTATGCAGCGAGGCCAACACAATCTTCACCCAACGCGAGTCTAATTCTCTATCAGATTTTGCGAATGAAACTTCCTCCGGAGGCTTCTTGCAACCCAGCCAGGGTTCCTTTGTTTCCCCTTAAAACATCGCCCTCGTCAAAGGACCCTCACTTGAACTACAGGAGCCGAAGAGGTGATGTTTACAACCGCCAAAACAGGAAATATAGAGATCCCTCTTGGGCAAATTCTTATGATGCTCCGATCATAACCAGGGACCCCCAAAGAAAGGAACCTTCATTTTGGATGTTGTAAACATCCCCTAGTGACGTCCTACTTTGGATCCACTGCCAGCCTTGTTTTTTGCCTAGGCTTCGCGCAAGACATTGCCCGTCAAGCGATCGCCCCAACCGAGGACGGCGACCTGGGCACGGGTTGCCAATGCCGCCCCGAACGCGCAACGGCCAAAAGGCACAAACGCAAAAGCACGTAGCCTGTGCATTTGACGGCAACGAGCAACGCCCAGGCAAGCTTTGATTGCCTTCCATTGCCTTCCATTGCGGTACGCTTTCACGGCCAATATAAAACAAGGAAAAGCAACGCTCGCCACAACAACCATGACCAAAACGGCTTGGACAGCCCGATGGGTCTGTCTTCAGGAGAGTTTCTTGGTCTCTTTCTTGCTTTCCTGCAAATCAATGGATTGTGGTCGACACCCCCTTGGGTTTGTGGTTGTTGTACCCTCAACCGTCTTGCACGTCACTCAAACCCATGGTTGTGGCAAAACATGGCAAAACGCTGTTTCTACAATACTGACATCAAAGGGGAGCCAGCCCCATGACTTCTTAACTTTATTGAGAGTTCCCTTGGCATCACCAAAAAAGCTGGCCCACATGTGGGGTTATTCTTTAAAACCTGTTTTGACTCTGTTTCATAATCGTCTCACTTTGGTTAGAAATGCACCGTATTGAATTATGCAATTTCGGGCCAATTGTAGACGTTTCTCGCCGACCCCAACTCCAGCCAATTTAGGGGCAATTTTAGAGCCAATATTAAACCAGTACTAAACAAATCCCAAACCGCAAGTAAACCAATTGTTAAACCAAGTTGAAACCAGCGCCAAAATCCAAAATACGACTTTGATGATTGAGTTGCTTGGAAATTGCCATTTTGAGCGATGTTTGGTGCTGGAAAGGGGGACTGTGGCGGAACTCCTGGGGCAAACATGTACCGTATAAATCTATCTATCTATATATTATGAATAATTGTATTTATATCTCGGCCCCCAGGCGAATATCTTTAACGGGGGGGGGCGGCATATCCATTTTCAGCGGGGAGTGATGCTTCATTGGAGTACCCCCCCGCCATTTTTGTCGGGGCCTTCTGTCGGAGTATAACCCCAACATACTAAATTCATGAGACCGTCCTACAGTGCTACCACCCATTTTGCAAACCCTAAACATTGCCATTTCGGCCATTTCAAGTCGAGGAACTGAGCCCAAGCTCACGTAGATGAGGATCACCACCATGAAGGCCACCCGCAACGACCAGTAGAGCTGCCGGGGCTCCTGGACCCGAATTCTACCCATGCGTCGCCCCCCCGAAAAGGGGCGGTGGAACGACCAACCCCGGGCCAAAGCAAAACAGGCTGCCAAATTTCACCATGTGCTTTTGCTTTCTGAAGAAGAGTCTGGAAATGAGAATCGAATGCATATCCGCTGGCTTCGTGTTGAGAGGAACTCGACAACAATGCTTGCGATTTAGCCACCCAGTGAATGATCAGACAAAACAACAACGGCATTGAGTTCTGGGGTATGCCTACAACATCCAGAAAAGCACTAGATTTCAAGCTCCCCTTCTCCTGCTTTCCCTACCCCCTGGCCCTTCCTCTTTTGGAGGAACCCAGAAAAACACAGAGTTTTGCCGCCTAGGGTGACAAGGCATGACATTAACTTGCTGCGACTTGCGGCAAGACAGTAACGCCACTGGCAATTCCACGGAGTCCAAAAGGTACCTTTCAAAAGGAAAGCTTGACCCAAATCTCGGGGCACAGAAATAACTCGTTCAGCTTCTGCTTCATATGTAACTTACCGACCTGCCCAACACAGACAAGACAAATGTTCGGAGGAGACACCAGAGAGTCCACTCCAGTTTGGGAGCATCGAACACCAAGGTCTGAAGGAGGGAAGCGGTTGCTACTTTGCCAGCTATTCTAAGGACATGCTAAAATACATTGCCTCCATGTCACATTTGAAATCTGCCGAAGTGTGTATGCACAGCAGATTTAATGTGCACTTCCGACCTGCCGAGTTCACTAACCGAACAGATCTTCTTTCTGGGCATTTTACAAACAATCTGAACCAGCAACAACAAGAAGATTTCAGTGTGCCAACTCAGCTGGTAATCGTCGGCCTGCTCGTCTGTTCCAAGCAACCAAGGCGACGAATTAACCCCAGCACGCCTTCATGTCGTGCTTCATCACGGGTAGCACATCAATCGGGGAGTATGCATACACCATCACTGCCTGCAACCGTCAACTCGGCCAGATGGTAATGCACACACAGGAATTGGGGACGTTGGAGATTATGGGATGGGCAACTGAAATCCGCCGACCCTCTGCCTCCCGTCCCAGCCTCCTGCAGAGGGGACCGGCGTGGGATGCAACTGGAAGTGATTGGAATCAATGATAGTCCCTGAGGGACACGCCCGAACCCACAAAAAGTGGATTCCCAGAACCGGTCCCAGGTCCGGTCCCGGGACCGGTCCTGGGACCAGTCCTGGGACCAGTCCTGGGACCTGTCCTGGGACTGGTCCTGGGACCCTGGTTCTGCTGTTTCAGATTGCTTGTAGTCAGCCAAAACCGGTCCGGGACCAGTCCCGGAACCAGTCCTGGGACTGGTCCTGGGGACCAGTCCTGGGACCAGTCCCTGGGACTGGTCCCAGGACCAGTCCCAGGACCGGCGGTTTGGTCCTAACCGGTCCTGGCACTGGTCCTGCCAGTTCTGGGACTGGTCTGGGAAGCCGGTCCGGGATCGAGTCCTGGTGTGAGCGCTGGTATTGGGTCCCAATTCAAACTGCTGTGCTGCCACCTCAAACCGCTCCAGACACCTTTCCGGACTGGCACCCAGGCGACCAAACCGGCCCGTGCGGTTATTGACGTCCTTGTGGTAGTAGAGGATCCCTGGATCTGTTCTGCAAGAGAGTCCAATACGTGAAGTCAAACCGCGCCAGACTGGGACCAGCCTGCTGCCGGCGACCGGTCCAGGGCAACTTCGGGAGGGCCAGTTTCAGGGCGACCCGAGGTGACTGCTCCCGGCCAACTCGAAGTGACTTGGGCGCAAGAGGGCCCAAGCGGTAATTAACGGACTAGCTGCCCTATTTCTGACTTTTCCGGTAATCCTTGTTTGTGGTCAACTTCGGGGGAGCCAGTTTCAGGGCGATTTCGGGAGAGGCGACTGCTCCCGGGCCAACTCGAAGTGACTTGGGCGCAAGCCGGCCCAAGCGGTAATTAACGGACTAGCTGCCCTATTTCTGACTTTTCCGTTAATCCTTGTTGTGGTCGTAGAGGATCTTATAAGTGGTCCCTGGGTTTGCGGACGTGTTTCAGGACCGGTCCTTGTGACTTTTCCCTTAATGCGCCGAGGGTCGGCGGCAGCAGGCGGGAGCCTGGTTAATAAACCAGCGAATATGAGTGAGGAGTGATAGGTGATAGGGATGGTATAGAGAAGGGATGAAGACGGCCATCACCAGCTTGTAAATGAGACTATGGAAGGCTGGTGATGTGAAGGAAGTAAATCGACAGCCACCAACATGCTAATGAATAAGATGATAATAGCTTTTCTATCATCCCCTCCCACCATTCTTCTCTTCATTCATACCGTCTCTCATCTATTGAACCATCTTAGGTCGGAACGAGCGAAGAGAGACATGGACCATCTCTCACCTCCATCTCTCACCTATCACTCCATCCTCAGCCCTTCTCAGCTGCAAAGGGATGGATGGTGAGTGATGGGAAAGAGACGGTGAGAGGGGAGGTGCCAGATAAATCCCAAGTCAACGTCCATTCATCCCTATTTACCCTTGCCAGCCGCAGAAACGAAACTGTGGGAAGGATAGAGATGATGATTCCGTTTTCTCGTTTATCCCCCTTTTGGAGACGTCAAAGTGGTTGAGTCACATCCCCATGCTACTTTAACAAACACTTCAATGGCATTCCCCACGGCCCACGGGTATGACAGGAAGTTGCCCTACCCACTTGTCCACAATTATGCGCAGGCCTCAGAAGAAGCAAAGGACCTACAAGTACCACCCGGAAAACCTGTATGGCAGCCCTTAACTGGGAATTGTGCAAACAGTCTTGTTCCCGCTTTTGCGGTTGGCGAACACCTCTCAGCACATCCGGTATATTGGGGTGTTTGGTTCCTGCTTGAAACTGCCTGAAATCCAAACCTGTTACGGCATCCGCATGCATCCGCCGCCAAGGGCTCTCTGACATACAGACATGCCAGAATGGGAAAAAGCCGGAACCTGGTTTTCAGGCCTTCCTGCAACTCACTTCAGCCTGGTCTCTCTCTCTCTCTGAGTATCCGGCGAAATCGGCCAGAAGATTGCTATACGTGCTTGGCCATAGCCTCAGCTCCAAATCCGTCTCAAGGCCTGGTAGCTGGGCAAAGCATAAGAACCGTGATGCAGGGAACCAAAAGTGTGTGGTTTTTTGAGGGTACCCTTTTTGGGGGATGGATGAAAGGGAACCACTCTTTTTTGGAGTTTTGGGGTGCCCAATTTTGAAACCGGAAGCAGGGCATCCCCGAGAAAGGTGTTACATTTACACGCATGATTCGCTTAGAGAACCTCAGTTGCATCTCGCACATTCATGTTGTCTTCCGAACCGGTTGTTCGATCTCGGACTCGCGAACAAAACAAACACTCGGTCTTTTAAGAGGCGCCAAGCTGCTTGGTGACTGTGTGTCGTGTGGCCGCGGCCTCAATGCCTGGCACCGGAAATATGCTTGATTGTTCGGAAACCACCAGTGAGGGTGCTCCAGGTCGGTCATTCCAACTTCCCTGCCTATCGAGCCAGCAAGAAATCAGGGGCCCAGAAATTGCGGTGTCCATTTAGCTTCCATTCCACAAGGATACCCCCAAGATCACAGGCACATACGAAAATGAACACACGAGAAGCAGCAAGCTACTTGGCGGTTCCCCTAATACTTGCTTTGGGTCCCCGTTCCCATGCACATATGGCCCGTCTGGTCGGGGGTTCTGAGCGTTTCGACTGCAAGTGCCCAACCAGGCTGTAGAACCTCCCAATGGGAAATAGGGTTTCGGCGCTGCTCAAGCGACCCGACGTTGGGGGGCGGGGAAGGGGCTGGGAAAGGATGGGAAGACAAGCGGCAAGGAGGTGCAACAAATAGCATAACATGCGTTCACATGGGTGTGCCTATATATTCTTGATAGCAACCATTTGGGCTTGGTAAGGGACAAAGGGAAAGCAGGCCTCATTTTGGAGTTCCATATTCCATATTCTTTTGTCGGCTGGCCAGGCTCAAACTCTTTGGATGGGGTGAAGAAACCTACTTAGAGCTGAACCAAGTTTCTTGAATAACCAGGAACCTACGGGAAACCTTTGTTTGCGAATCGATGCCGGGCGATTGTCCAAACAACTACACTCGGCGGCGAAAGTCAGTGCACGACAGCTTACACAAGCAAACCTGCATCAGACGCAAGCGCAGTCACGAAGTCAGAGAAGTCAGCGCAAAACTTGCCAAATTCCACTGTGACGCAGCATGTCAAGATGTCCGTGTTTAAGCACTAATTTGGACGTGCGATGTGTAAATCCCACGGTGACGCAATATGTCAAGATTTCCGATTTTAAGCACTAATTTGGACGCCCGATGTGTAAATCCCACTGTGACGCAGTATGTCAAGATGTCGTTTTTAAGCACTAATTTGGACGTACGATGTGTAAATCCCACTGTGGCGCAGCATCACGTGACACAAACCAGGTGTCTGCTCACACAAAATCTTGCCGCATGGAATTCAACTTCAACGCAAACCATATATATATATATATGTATACCCCAACCAGGACGCAAGCCGCACCGACTTCCTGAATCAGTACTCTGCATGGCACACGAAGTTGGACGCAACCGCACCGACTTTAGGCAGGAACGTTGGCGTGGCCCACCTTCCTCTTGCAGGGGCACCCAGGCGAGTTACCTTTGTGAGAGGGCAGCCGTCTGCAAACATCGATGCATCAAGACAGGCCACATGAGTGCGTTTTTAGAGAGGAAGCCAACAAAGAAAAATATGTACAGGGTGGAATCCAATGAGCAAGTGGGGTTCCCAAGGTGCAAATCGCCCAAGGCCAGCTCTGGATGCACTTGTTTGGGTGGAGCGTCGCCCGAATGGAAAAAAGCTGATATCAAATTGGCCCAAAAGACGAAGTTTAAAGAAGTCACTTCCTGACTGGATGGCTTGAAGTCCAGAAATTATTTGGAAGTAAGCCAAGCAAGGGGACATTCACGAAGCCCCTTGTCACGCTTGGAAATGACTGGAATTGGGAAGGGTGATTTGACGCGTTTCCACACGGCCTCCTGCTGAAATGGTCAGCAGGTACACGAAGGAAGCTAGCACACCTCAGCCAGGGACATTCATCCGAACATGAAACCCCGGGGACGAATCATATGCACAAAAAACAACATGCATCAATATGATGTGAATGAGGATCTCTCGTACATCGCTTGTTGGGACCTTTCGGCCGGTCAATCCAGACTGAGTTTCAACCCGTTGTGGAGACGTATCAGGGACCCTTGCAAATCAAACAGCTGTGCTGGGAATTTGGAAAGGTCTTCTCCAGCCCAACCCTAGAAGCCAGGCCCTTGGGTAGGGACCGCAACACAAAGCGACTTGAAGCTGTTTCTGAAGAACCCGACTGAACTCCGCGGGAATGGAGTTCAACTTCTGGCTCCGGTGGCTTTTTCTCCCAGAAGCGTCGGCAAGAAGTGGTGCTTAAGAATGGTTGCTATACACTTCTGGGCCAGACTTGGACCCTCTCCAGAAATATGTGTTTTCTGGCAAAAGGGAACATGAAGGGTAACTAAACCAAGGTAACTGAACAATAGCCCCCACAACATGCTCCATCCGCTTGGGCCCCAACATTGGCGGGGCAAAAATAAATTGTGTCGAACTCTGTTGAATTAACCTGAGGTCTAACATCCAAAACGTCAAGGTTTGATTGCAAATGGGACACCGCGCATCAGAACTGCTGCCAAGCTGCCTATGAAGGACCTTGGCAAACGAACTCACGAAACTGAACAAGTGAGGTGTTCAACTAAACGTGACTGCTCCGATGACCATCCCACTTAGCAAGTGGTTGAGAACCCTGGTTACAGGTTAACCCTAACTAGGATTAACTGGGCCATGATCATTCCATCCTGCTTGGAATGTGCCTAATGACCCTGGCTAACAAATGCCCCAAGCAGGATTTACACCATTTTTAACCTACTTACAGTAATTGCCAAGGGTCGTAACGAGTCACTAAGCGGGTGGTTATCCAGCCGTAGACTGCTGGGAGTCTTCAACGAGCCTCATGCTCATGTCATTCGGCAGGCCACCTTCCAGGGTGGCCAACGGAGTCAAAGGGGGGGCCCCCAGGGGCCGTGCCATTGCGAGATCACAGTGATGTCACGGACGAAGATCAGGCGCATACAAATCATAGCACCTGCGAGCTGCCAAACACCATTTTGAAGTGAGGCATCGACCATCTGCGCTTGACTCATATTGTTGTGGGCTCTGGGGCCTTTCTGGCGGTCGAAGGCAAGCATTTGAGCCCTTCACACAATCAGCCGGACGCGTTGTGCACGCCAAAAGGAGTCGCATGGCACAAGGCCAAGGGTTTGGTAAAGCAAAACTCCAGGGTGTAGACATACCGATGTTCGAGTGAGCTTTTTGTGAAGAGAACGTGCATGGCCACTCCCAACAGTCCCGTCCAGCCCATTCACTTCTCGCCATCGGTTTCTCCCCTTCCCCGTCGCTGTCTCCGGGCCTGTCACTGACCAAGCCCTCAACGACACCGTCTCCATGGCATAGTTCAGGTTGGTGCCAATCACCACAAAGTACACGCCGCATTTACCTCCCAAGAGACTTCCGCCCGGCACCCGGATTTGTTGCTTGTTGCATTTGTGTGGGGAGATGGTGTGTGAACCAAGAGGAACATGCGAATACGAAAAACGCGCAACATGGAAAAACGGGAAGGGTACAAACCCTCCCACCAAACATGGAGGTGCAATTGTTTCCCCTTTTGGAGAGATTTCGTCGTCAAAATACGTCTCGATGGCCCAAAGCCGGTTGCGTGCCTACTTTCGCGGCCAAGCGGCTGATCTGAAAAACGCAGGTCAGAAACAGGACCTCAGCAACCAGCCCAAGCTCCATGGAAAAGCCAAGGAAAAGCCCCAAGGCCTCATGGCCCATAGCCACTCTTGGAGATCTCAAAGCATTTGTCCGCTCAATCTGCACAGAATGTGTGCGCCAAATTACAAAGGTGCTAGCCAAGTAGTAATTTTCAAGACCGCCAGGGGGGCTGCATTAATAGGGAAAGGATTGTGGATTGTGTGGCATATCGCAAGCGCCGAATGGCTGCAACATGTTACCTCTCCCATACTGTGCAAGGCTGCTGGAAGATTGAGCCTTACATATCAAAATATGGGGTCGTGTTTTTGGGGTACCTCTTTTTGGGGTTGCTTTGAGGGAATCGCCTGTTGTGACACAAACCCATATGTGTGCTGCTGGACGAGCATCGCAGCATGGGGCCAACGACAGGTTGAAATTGCCTCCCCTCCGCTGGAACTCAAGAAGGTTGAAGGTTGCTGCAGCTCCAATCCCTAAAAAGCAAACCATACAAAGGAGCGCCATTGTCACGACTAATTATCTGGGTCGTTGGGTCTCATGCTTCCCTCAAGAGGATCTGTTCAGCACTGAAACAGGGTGAACTTAGGACAGGTGTTTAAGTCCGAACACTTCAGGACTCAGCCCACTCCCTCCCTTCATGGCAAGAGGCAGCTCGCTTGCCGCGCAGACCGAAGCACTCCTGGAGTGGATAGCATCAGCTCAAGGAGTTGGCAGGCAAGCTTGCTTTGTCTGGGCTTCTAGTCGCCCAGTGATCGCAGCAAAAGGCAACTCTTTTAAGGGCTGACCAAGGTTCACCGTAAAATTTGGGAACCCACCCAAACAAACAGGACAGCTGGGGATGTTGGTGCGTTTCAGCAAATGAGTAAATGGGGAGCCCTCATTGGCACACGCCGGGCAGCTCGTCTCCTCAGTCGGAAGCAAAGAGAACCTCCCCCCCCAAACTCATCTGACCGACCTGGCATCACTCCCTCAAACCCATGCCGGGATGTCCTGGACAACGTCCCCTCGGCGCAAGCATGATGAATGCTGAGATTAGAAGGGCCCCTCAAAAAAATACTTGTCCATGCCCTTCCAGAACGCCTGGTCTGCCCTGCTCCTTGGCTCCCTTCCAACCACAGTCAAAACTGTATACCACCCCCTTGGGCCCCAGGTCCCTCCGCTACACTTCAGGGAACATGTACCTTCCACACTTTCAAGACACCACCTGAACATGACTCCAAAAGTGCGTCCCCTTGAACATCCTGTGTGGCTCTTGCCCCTGGGAAAAAAGCTTAACTTTTGCTCGTCCGTGTGAACAAGTTCCTAGCTTGTTCAACCACATCCAGGTGGCCCCAAAGGTTAAAGATCCAAGCATCCCGGCCGATGTTTTTGGGATGCTGGCCATGGATCTCAGCAATGGCTTCCATTGCTTGGTCCACCTGCCAACCGAAAACCGCCTTGTCTCACACATGGCTCCGGAAAAACCCATCCTGCTGGTCTTCTTGCTTGGGCTTGGTGCAGCTGCAAAATGACCCGCCAAAGGGATCAGCTCCCACATATCCGTTCATTTGGCCAACAGCGGGACATGGATTGCCACAAAATGAAACTAGGGGTAACCCCTCTTCCCACATGTCCGTGTTGAAGAGGATGGAGCATGTGTCAAAGCTCTACTCTACGTTGGAAACGTGATTCCACGACTGGCGACGGTTCATGGTTCTGGAGAATCACCTTTTCTGTGATACCAACATGGGTCAATCCCTTGACTACTGCATAACCCCCTGATTAAAGATGCCCGGTTTTCCCAGCCGACTGCCAGCCAATGCTACTTTCAAGGCACCCACGAGGTGTCCCTCTTATTCTTGGGGCACCACCCAACACCCCTTCTGATAAACAAAATACAAATGCCTCTTTCCGGCCCAAAATTCGGAAAAATATATGTTACCAAAGCTATTGCCATTTATTTTGCCAATTAATAGTCTCAAGGGTTGCCATTCCAGAAATCCAAAACCAAAAATCAGCTAGCAGGAAACGGCAAATGCCTTACTACAATTTGCTTTAAATCAAATAAGGTTTGGCAAGCTCGCAAAGGGTACCCCGTTCGAGGCCAGCCCCGCCCCTGAATAACACAAAACCCCCTCTGATTAATCAAGTCCTTGGCCAAACAGGGGTCCACACAGGAAAGCACCGGAGAGGACCTGACCTTGTCCGGATTAATCCGAGCGAGCCCCAAAGGACCCCATAATCCGGTTTCCCCAAACCTTGTCGACGACCTTGAGGGGGAGGGCGGTTATTAATCAAGTCCACCTGGGTGCGTCGTTTCTCAAAGGTCATGTATAATCTCAATGGGGTTGCAAGGGAAGTTTACGCACAGGAAAGCCACCCATTTGGGAACCTCCAGGTGGACTTTGGCTCGCAGCTTTGCGGTTTTTAAATCCCCTGGAAAACAGGAGGCCCTGGCTAGAAATGCACCAAGCAAAGCCATGTGGGACATGTGGGAGGCCCCCGGAAGGATGTCCCAGGCACGAGGACGCGGCCAAAACGCAGGCTTGGTAGGAGACCAGGCCCGCCAGTACGACCATTAAGGGGCCGAGCGCCTCAGCCGTATCAAAGCCTGGCACATCCAGTGGTCAGCCCAAACTTCTGCAAAAACACAAAGGGTTGGTATACTTCCTTTCTCCCTTATTGTACATTGAATATCCACACCTAGTTGTGGTTGGGATTGTCCATTTTGACTGGCTAGGGACGGAAACTGGTGAGTCCATGCCACCGCTGTCGTGGAGGTATGGTTTCATGCCAGATTCAACATGGAACCCCAAAAACTGGCGGTTTGACCCAGAAATACAGGGTTGACATTCTCGGACCTTGACAATTGAACCACAGGGCAAAACCCAAAGGTAAGGTCAGCTTGTCTATTGACATCACCCTTCAAAAAATGAGTAGCCCAACCACCAACCACCAGCTACCACTCTTTTAGGATGTTGAAACCACAACGGACGTGTGAGCCAGCCCCAAAACGGATGTTGAAACCAAGCCTTTACAAATGTTTAACCCAAGGAAACCTCGACCCCTCTCGCAAGTTCAGGGCCCGGGCCCAGCCGTTGTTGGCCACCATGCGCGGCAAGCTCAAAACGCTGGCCCCCACCATGCAGGTCCTCGGCACTCTATGGAACCCGACTGGGCGCCCTTCTGCGTGATCGCAAGTTGCACCTTTCGCTGAGTTCCGCGCACTAAATTCGATGCAGCTTGTACGGCGGTCATCTTTCCATGCTCCTGGCCCGCTAAAATACTGGCTCTGAGCTTGGGTAGGGGAATAACCTGTGTGAACACGACCCAGTTCAGCCATGGCGCACACGGATTCTGAAATGAACGCCACACTCTTCATGTCGACCGTGGCTCGAAAGCCACGTCGAAGGAAACAGCTCAAGCCCAGGATATAGTACAATAGTGCCATCTTTACTCCACAGATCCATATTGTGAAGGAGTCAACAAATTAAGCAACCGCCAAGATCTCATGAGTGCCCTTGAACTCGGCATTTCGCTGAGGGGTTGATTCGACGGGAAACATCTTCCAGGTTTGACAGGACATATTGCAAAAGCAACGTGTCTCGCGCGTGCACGCGCCTCAGTCTCTTTGTGACGGGCCTCGGCGAACGTTCTTTGACCAAGGGCCAAGAGGCAGAAATCCGTGCTGGGCAGTGGTTGCCAATGCTGGGCACTTCCTTGGCCCAAAAAGAGGCACGGACAATACGCTTGATCTTCTTTGGGCTTGGACAGGCTTCGGCGTCTAAAGCTTCGAAACACAAGGACGTGTCTCCCCGGCATGGCATCTTGCAACTTGCAACACGCCTAGCAGCATATAAGGACACGGATGTGGCAGGCCCCATATGCTCATCCGGCAACTCATCTGTCTCGTGATGTTCCCAGTGGTAGTCCCAGGGTTCTAAAAAGATTAAACTTTGTTTTGGTTCCAGCCACCACTAAACGAAGACAGCTCATCAAAGTTCAAAATGTTCAATGCTTGAATTTTACACGGCAGTGGTTGATCGGTATTCAAGTTTCCCGTTTGGGCTGCCCCTGAGCGGACTGATGACTGACACTCAGTGGTCGCTTAAGCATTCACCCCAGGCAGCTCTAGGCTTCAGCTTTCTTGTGGGGTAGGTGTAGCAAATGGAACCCCCCCCTCCCATGTTTACGAATCGAACCGAAGCGAACAGACTCACTCCCCCGAATGCACACAACCTCAAAATAAATAGTTGTGCTGTGGAGCAGGCTAGGTCGCGTGTCCTTCAGGTTATTTATTGGCAGGCTGTGGGGAACCGGCTGAGCTTCCTGGCTACTAAAACGCTGAAGAAACCTGACAGCAAGTTAACCCTCCCTCCAACCAACATAGCACCTGCTGGAGGGCAACTGGAAGATCACAAAATGCTGGTCCTGGAAGTGAAATCAAGGAAGACCGTTCACAATTCTTTACACTTCTTGGTCGGTCATCCTTTGCTCCGCTGCAAATTCGTTAACATGGAAGCCGAAAGGGGCCCCCAAAGAAGCTCCTCACTCCTCATGTTCTTTGCTTGGGTCCCAAGTTCAGGCAGGGAACCCCGGCATGGTCGACTCTGTGGCGCCCCGCATGGCCAGACACGAGGTGCGCCGTCTCTTCGTCCTCACCTCACTCCGACCGAAACGATGGAATTCCGGCGAGCAGCTAGGTACAAACATGGGAATCCCTGATGGAACCAAAAGGAAAAGAAATGTTTCCAAAAGGAGAGGTCAAAAACTGTTCTTTTGTGTGGCCCTCAGGGAGATGACATCTTTTGTGGGTCCCCGAGGTCCTTAAGGCAAACATGCGAAAAACACTTTCTTTCTGTTCCTGCTGTGGGGGTCCCAAATTTTGATGCATACCCAGTGTCTAGTCTGACTTCCGGAGCGGATTTGCCTCTAAAACTAAATTGGTCCGAGTCCAAGCCCAAAGGTACAAAGTCCAGGAACTCAGAGAGAGCGGAACAGCAGCACGCTGATCCCTTCACAATGGCTGCCGGGGGGGGGGGGGCGGGCACTGAAGCTTCGGTGGTGTAAAGGGAAGATGCCCCAAAGTGACATGATGTAGGTACCATTGATGTAACAGGTGCTATACAACTACAACCAGCTTCAGAACCATGCAAGCGTCGGCAAAACCAAAGAACATGCGTCCTTCGAGTCGTGCAGGGGCCATAGTACTTGCATCAAACCCTATCCAAACATTAACGGACATGAGTCCCATGTTGGACCTGCGCAAGAAGAAACTGCTCTCTCATTTTCTCTTCGGCTGCAACCATATGTCTTTCCAGAACTCCTGGTAGCTCCTTAGCTTGCGCTTTTCAAGGTAAATCCCGATACTTCCATCCCCTTGGCTGGGCCAACACGGGTGTTTCCCAAAATAGTGGTCCCCTGAAAACCATGAGTTCCTTTTGGCCGCCCCGTAACTACCAACCAAGAAGGGGTCCACTATGGTCACAGACCCTAAGGGAAAAACGTTGGAGCGTCCCGAGTCGCGGGCTCGAAGGCACATGGGGCTCCTGACGAGAAAGTTCCGAAAAAGGCTCCCGGAGAGGCCTCGATCAGCGCATTTCAAGTCTGTGTCGTGGTTTTGTTCTTGTGTTATGTTTGTCTGTGTGAATGCGAGTTTGTGTTTATAATAAGTCTGTGAGTATGCTTGTAAGCGCGATTGTTTGGTTGTTTGCATTTTTGGTTGTTTGATATTGAGCCAACGGCCGACACATCGGACGACTAAACGCCCCAAGATCAGCCGTTGGCTCCTCCGTGACCTTCCGGCGCGCGTGCGCAAGCCGTGGGTGGCTCTTCTCCGAGGGGATTCCGGGCTCCTCCTGCCAGGGATCAAGGAGCCACATGGTTTCAACAAGGCGTTTAAATCAAAAGCCTGAATATCTAGAATGAGCCTTTGGGCTACCTCACTAGTCATGACTCATAAGCATAGGGGTATTAGTATATAGTTGTAATATTATATATATATGTATGTATTATATGTATAGATTGCCCCTTAGGTTACCTTTGCCAGACTCCCTGGAAGTCGCCCGACGGTTTGTACCAACCCCTCCCAAGTATCGATGGCGGGCATCCACTCTTAGACTCATAGATTGTCTACTTATAAGGCTTGTGGGTCCTGCACCAATCCTTTTTGGAGAACCAGGAGTGTCTTGGTTTAGGGACCCGCAAAAAAATGTGGTTTCCTCTGGGCGTCCCCTTAACAAAACTAAAGACGGGGTACCATCAAACAAAGACGCAGTCAACCTTTTGTCGCATATATGTGCAACATGTCCAACTTTGAAGCCTGTGGCGACATTGACGACAATCGAATCGGGAAAGATGGTGACTCCACAATTATTCCGTCATAAATATTTGGGTTTGTCTCTTTCTTCCTAAGGGTGCCATGTTCTGGGTGGTTTTAAAGGGGAGGACAAGGACAAAGCAATTTTGAGCGTCCCATATGGCCCATTTGGCTCTGACTGTTTGATTAAGGATCCTTTGGTGGAAATCATTTATGGGGATTCATGTCCACCAACCAGTTGCGATGTGATTCCCTATTCGCATTAATAGTCAAATGTTTTTGAAGACAAACTTCCTTGAAAGATGCGTCATTCAAAAACCCACTGCTTCACAAGGACCTGGATCCTCTAAATCAGCTGGTATGTAGGTAAGCCTTTCACTGCCCATCCGGGTGCGATCCTTAGGGACCTGGACACATTGAAAGAGTACCCTTCCCACAAAAACAGAAGTAGTGTGAGGGCACCTGGAAGATCACCTTCCTTTTGGAGGGGCCTCTTATCAAATGCTATGTTAGTGGGAGGGAGGGGACCCATCCTCCATCGGATTCTCTTTGAATAAATCAAGAATTGTGGGCTATTTCACAATGTTTCCTCGGGGACCTTGAAGGCACGCTTCATCAGGTCCTCAGCCTCCTCGCTGGGATGTTCGTTGGACAGGTCCTCCTTGCAGAAAGTGGTTTTGTGCTTCGAAGATGCCTCCAGGTTTTGATGACTCCATTGGGGATGTGTCCAAAGAGGCTGCGCGTGGTTCTTCGGGCTTGGACTGCGCAAAGCTGGGGTCGGAGCGTTTCCCTTGGGCGCGCCAGTTACCTGCATATGCTGTTCCTTTCATTGCCTTGGGCATTTCCAGCGGGGGAACCCCTAACACAATGGGAAACACACGATGGTGGCACGGAACAACTGGCTTCAAGGGCACGCCCTCGTGGGATGTGTGTCGTCAAAGGAGGAACAAGCCGCAACAAATCGCCAGTTGCCATGCGCGGATGAGCATTGAAGCCTCGTGTCCATCGAAGGGTTCCTTTTCGACCCTTGCTCGATAAAACCAGCATGGCTGCGAGACATGCCAAGCAACACTACCCTCTGCACTCCGCATATCCAAGGCAAAGGCGGCAGAATTAATAAGAGGTCGCAAGGGACCCCCTACAATGGTGAATGTCTCATGGGTCGCCCTCTTAGACGACCAGGGCACCCTCACAAAAACAGAATCACACACATATGTGCTTGGGTGTCTTTGATTGTAGGGTACCGATTTTGGGTGTGGTTGTTGAGCGGGGAACTCAGAGCAGCAAACTTGCCGCCCAAATCCCCAAATCCCTTCACTCCACATCCGAGCCTCATGGCCAATGACTTCGGGCTCAACCTAGCAGGGCGAGACACTTGGCCCATACGTTAACCTTATAGGAGTTAAATCGCTGCCATCGTTTCAGTAAGGGACAAACAAACGTAAGATGGTACCAAACGTACACCCAGAAACAGGGGCATGATGCCCATGGGAGGAAACCAAAGGTTACTCTGTCTAGTACTTGGAGGTTCTGACGGAACCTTCACAAGGGTTCTTGCAAGGTAAGCGGAAATTCCCCTTTGGGCTGGTTCCTACCCACGAATAGGAGCAACAAGTCAGAGGACACCAAAGGCCTTGCAAAGTTCTTGAGGGGTAGGGAACCGGGGAAGGTTCATATGATAGAAGCCTTTCCACCGTATCCCTGCCTCGATAGCGATGGATGCCATCGCCGTAAGGCCAGGCAATCATAGGCCCAATTGGAAGCAGCTGGTGATAAGAGAAGGGGTTGTAAACTAAAAGGACAACAGCCAAGATGAGCAGCTTTCTACGGTGAGAAACGCTCAAAGCGTGCTAACACTGGCCGAGATGGGGCTCAAAATGACAGCAGAACTTTCCCTTCTGGCAGTTTCAAACCGAAGGCCGATTTTGAGACAATCCCGAGTTCTTCCCTTTCAGCTAAGGGCACGTCAGGCAAGGAGTGAAGTTGTCGTGTGACATCCATCAGTTGAGTGCAAGAAAGTTCCGTGCGTGAGGAATGCTTTCTGCATCTTGTGAAAGGCAATGAGGGACCGACGGAGCGAAGCACTGGACCTGCCCTTTACGCTCGAACTTAGAGGCATGTAAGCGACTTGAGCCAGGAACTCGCAGAGAGGACACCATTTTGGCCCAGAAAATACGCGAAGAGAGCTCTGTGGTTTGATGCTTCGAGGAAGTTTGTTGTATTGTTCTTCTTTTTGTTTGTTCGGAGCTCTGGTTCTGAGAAGCTTTCTGGGCCTCTGAATCGTGTTGGGCTTCGAGTCCAGCCCTTCCCGAGGGGCATTGGGGCAAATGACATGGTTTGGCCTGGATAAAGTGGACCAACATGGGCAAAGTGAAAGCTCCGAATCGCTTGATTCAGATTGGGCAACTGTTTGTGTCCAAAAAGACAAGCTGAAGGTCAAAGCTGGTGGGGATCCTTGGGATGAGTCCTCAAACCAGCGCTCTGGAAATCCGGGCCTCTCAGCAGCCAGACTTGCAAAATCAGGTCACCCAAAAGGAAATCCCGGCCTGCTGCCATAAGTGTTGGAAGGAGGATGTCTTTTCCACAAATTGGCATGGAACCTCTCAAACCAGTACAACAAAATATTATTATTCGAATGATGCTGAGGTTTGCTTCAACTTAATGTGCGGGGGTATCATTCTTCTGAGCCCTGTACGGGACACATGTGCGCTCTTAAAAATGAAAGAAAACAACTGCGAAGGCACCCACGCTGTGAATTAACCAAATGCTCCTTGAGCAGTCCCATTGCAAGCATCGGTAAGCATTCTGGGGCATGGACCTCTTCCAGTTCAGCACCCGCGCCATACCTCCCTCCAAAGCGATACCTGATTCCTCAAACTACCCTTGAAAATGAGCGACTCGCTGACACGTGGCAATATCCCATTTTTGAGGGTACTTTAAGCGTCCAAGTGCTTGAGGTCATGGAAGCCATTTTCTTTGTTCCTGCCACAAGGATGCGTGCAAAGGTTGAATTAGCTGCCTCACGTGCTGTTCACAATCACCACAGCCGCGCACTCGGCTCTGGAAACAGGACTGAGGCAAATAAGCCCGGGGCCATGAGCAAGCCATTCATTCTCAAGCGGTTTCACGACAACCTCTCCTCCAGGCAAATTGACATGAAACAAGACTCCCCAAAGGCAGACCCCTCGTTCAACCTTCTGCCTTTCTCGGATTCCGTGCTATTGTGCAGTATCTGGTTGAGGGTCTGGACAAGCAGCAAAATGATCCGTCCCCTCTTGGCTTTGGGGAAGTCAAACGAAGAATGGCTGAGGAAGGACCAGTCCCAGGCAAGTCTGAATTAACAGAGGCCGCTCGGCCCGGCGACCCGCTCGGCTGCTTAGCCGAAGCTCGCGTGAGTCACAATCAGAACCCGCTCCCATTCGTGAGACCGGGGCCCGAGTAAGTCCGTGCCAAAGAGTTTTCCAACACTCAACGCATCTTAATGAATCAGAGTCAAACCAGGTAACAAACTTACCCGCTGGTGCTGAGGGAGTCTACTGGTGTAACCCGATGAGGAAAGGATTCGTTGCGGAAATTGGAGCCGTAAGCCATGTATAAAGCAAGTGTCCACCGTTTCAAATCTTCAATTACTGGTGGCGATAAGGTTATCGTGGTTGTGAAATCATAACAATCGAAATGCAATTGGTGATGTAAATGTTGCATTATTGCTTTTCCAGGATATATTGCTACAAATGCATGTTGTAGTTCACCTGTCAATTCTTACAATTGTGTCTTTGTTGTCCCTTTGTGTGCATAACGTATCATCTGCAGTCCTTCCAGTTTGTGAGCAAAGCTAAATCAATGACCACACAAAATCCTATAGGCCCTGCAGTGTTGCACGTTTTGGATTGCAATCGGAGCCTTAATGCATTTAGCTGGCTACATTGATCGCTTGGCCTCGTGATACTTCAAGCCATGGGTTTGAAGGGCAGCTTCGAGCTTGGACCTGCATGGAGTTGGAGCCTGGCTCCAGCTTAAGCAAAAGTCTGATGGATTGCTCAAGTTCCCTCAAAGGCCTGTCCTGTGCTCCGCAAAGCCAAAGAGTTCGTCAGGCATGCGCTTCCCCTCCACCCCACTAATCCGGAATAGTTGTGCCCCTGGCGCAGTGAAAAACATGATAAACGGAGGCATGCTCAAATGGAAGAAGCAGTCAGCCACAAGCCAAAAAACAAAACAAACCTAGCCCAAAAGCATCAGCAAGGGACTAATATGCTTAAAGGGTGAAAAGTAAGAGGAAACCAATTGAAAACTCAAATTGGGAGCTTTGCCCAGAAGCGCTTTTCAAAGGCAAAGCAAAAGCCATCACATTGAAAGCGTGTCACGAAATCACCTTTAAGGGCAACGCAACAAAAGGCCAGTTGGAAAATCAATTTGGAAGCTTTGCACAACAACAGTCTTAAAGTGAAAGCAAGGCTGGAACCGAAGTGCTTGGGGGAGTTCGCTGCCACTGTGAAGGTGCATTGCCTGTCTCTTTATTATTCAACTCCAACAATGTCCTTCCTCCCATGTTAACAATATTCACAAACAAACAAGCTTCTTGGCGCACATGTTTATGGTTGGGGCTGTGCCCCAACCTTCACCTACCCGGGCTTCGATTGCGGCTGAAGCATTGGCAACTTGCAGCGCGCTGCGCCGTCCCAAAACAAAGTCCAAAAGCTGCTTCAGCTGAAAAACTAAGGCTGTGGCTTTGTCATGCCTATGTTCCCCGCTTAAACATCACTCCAAACGGAAACCCATCTAACAGTGGCAACCAAAAGGTGACACTTAGACCGGCGGAAGGAAACATCTAGGGGCCCGTGTTTGTTGGGAATCAACGCCTTCAAGCAACGATCGTGCACTGACACCTGGGGCGCCAACCAGCGGAATCCCCAGGGAACCCTGTGCCAGTACTGATTCACAGCCGTGACAGAGGGAGCCATGGGAAGGCTATGAATCTTTCTTCTGGATCCTGATGGATGATTGGTCACTAGTGCTGGCATGGCTCCCCCTATGGCTCTGAGTAGAGTGTGATTCATGCCTTCAAGCCCTCATCTTACCCATCAACAAACTTCATATGCCAATCTCACAGCTTGCCACCCTTGTCCCATGGCAATCTCACGTTTGCTCATACCTACAACCTTTGGGCCCAACCTTTGGGACCAAGGCAACGCGAGCCGCATGGCGCGCTGCATGCACCGCCTCACCCCTCCGCAGGAGCGGGTTCATCCTCAAATACCCCGTACGCTGCTCTGGGGCAGGATGAGTTCGGACTCCTCGCGTCTTTCCGGCTGCGCACGGGAAAAATGGGGGGCTGCGAATCTCATGGTTGGTTGCCCAAGTTGACCAGACCTGAGCCAGGCTCCAGGAAACCACGAGGAGGTTGGCTGAAGTCTTGTTGTTTGCAGTGCTGCAATGGCAGGCATGTCATCTGCTTCCTCACTTTGGCCAGGGTTGAGACATGCCATCGCAGCTTGACCCTAGACCAACAGTTGAAGCCCCAGCTGCCTGGAGGCTTTGCTGGCATGTCTATCAGGTGGAGCACTGATATAGAACCTGATAGATCTCTCAAACTCATTGAAATATATTGAAACCAGTCCTGGCAGCTTTTGCAGGCATCTTTTTGCGGGATAAGATGGCAGTATGCAGTGATACCCCGATGATCGAGGCAGCGGAAGTGTACTGTATAGTGGCAATGGCGGTCTATAGTGGCAACGGCAAATTATGATGGCCCCGTCATGCTAGCAGCGGATCGTTGATGGCAGCCAGCGCCAACACATTCAGTTAAACAAGGCACACTAACCAACGGCACGATCCCATTCCCACTTGCCAGGACAAGACAACAAATGCCGGTAACCTTGTGCGACCCATCTATGGACCAAAACTAGAAGGCCAAGACCAAGGCCCTACAAACCACCCCAAAGCTTAGAATCCGGTCCTGCATTGGCCGCGTAAAGGCTGGAGACACGTAGCGCATGCGCGACCTGGGAGTGGCGAAACGCGCACAGCTCCAAAACACAACTCTGTTTCATACTTGGCCAACCGCAACCAGAAATCGCAGGGTGACCCAGGCACATGAAATCCCATTCACCCTGAAATGCACAAATCAAGCAGCATAGGATAGCTAAGCACAATGTATCTGGGAGCAGCAGTTGTTTGAAGAATTGATCCAGTGAAAAATGGCCAGCAACGTTTCTTTTGAGGGGTACGTTTGTGTTTTCGCTTATAAAACAAAGAGGCGAATCGAAACCCCTTTGGGGATTCCCTCAGAGGCAAACCGAACTCGGTGGATTGCAGCTTTACTGGCATGTCCCAAGTTGCGGACGGCCAACTCTAACCAAGGTGCACAGGTGATGATGTTGGCACATAGGCGGACACATCCTGGCAGGGCGCTGTTCCTTCTGGTTGCCCACATCCGAGCGGCCATGGCTACCTCCATTAACATTGCGGATCCAAGTAAAAACACAACAGCAGTACTCTCCAGGAGTTATAGATTCCCTGTAAACTAACACGGGGCAAAAGCAAAATTATCAAGCAAAGGAAGGTTATAGGAGGGTTATGGGAAATATTAACATACCTCTTTCTGTGATATCAAAGAATCACCCAATGTCCGACAAACTATTCGGTAACCATCGATGGAACAAGCAAAGGGGGACCGCAGTGGAACAGTTGCACTCTTCAAAGATGTTTGCACTGGCAACGCGCACATCTGAGAATTATCATGTTGGGCTTGCCGGTGTCAAGCACTGCGGCGGAACACATGCCGAAAGGCTGACAGACCTCTGTTGCAAATCTGCCACCTGCCCCGAGCGTACGTCACAGTTGCACCCAAAAAGTGTCGGGCCGAGCTCCTAACATTCCTTCCAGCACCAAGGTCCAAAGTTCTATCTCCACACATCGCGAGAATTGCAGGCAGCACCTGGAAAATCAACCCAAGCTGCTGTTGTGCTCATGTCATGGGAGAAAGGCATAAGCTACTCACTTGTCCAAGCAGCAAGTGAGAAAAGAGCTACGCTACTTGCGTGCCCAAAGCAGCAGCACATACTGTTCGGCTTCTGGAATCTTGACTATGATTAAAACTGGTTGCCATCATAGACAACCACGTGTTTGCTTCACTGCTGTTCCACCCCTTTCAGTTCTTGGAGGGGAAAGGTTGAACATCTGGTAATTAAGGGCGTCCTTTGCTCATTTCAGATCCATTTGTTTTGAAAAGAGGATAAACAAGCCCATAGCTTGGCCCACATCTGGGGTACACAGAAAGCAATACTTTCAGATCCAGATCCGTAGTCTATGCCCTAAACTGGAAAATATGTTGGGAGGAAACGAAACCTCAGATCGCTGATCTTCAAAGGGCGCAGCCAGCCTGTGCGCCCTTCACCGGTGTCCGCACCGTTCGGCACCTGGACATGAGTAGGGTGCCCTGAAAACCCCTTGACGAAATGCAGCAGCCATGGGCCAAGCCCATTTTTTCCCAACAGGGATCTTCTTTGGGCGGGCGCCATGCTAGGAGTTTGGGTGAGCCTTTTCTCGTCAAAGAGAAGCCTGGAAAGCAACCGGAACACCTTCGAGGTTTAGGGCCTCGAATTGAAATGAACCACATTGGGTTCCTTCGTTTGCACTTGATTCTGCTCAACACCATTTGACCTCAATCTCTGGCATCTTTTGACGTTTCGGCCTTCCTCTGTTGACCTTTCGGGGTGTCTACATTGCAATGCGCCAGTTACATCGTTCATCCTTTCCGCGAGAGCCCGAGGCCTCACCTGGCACCTGTCCAAAAGAACTTTGTTCCAATCAAACTTCAAAGGATTTGTTTCCTCGCATTAGGCATGTGCGTCCCCCTGAATCCCTTCTGTATTTCATTCTCACTTCTTGACGTCGCATCTACAGGCCCCACTCACAAACTTGCTTGGAACCTACTTCGGAGTCCTGGCTTGCCTTTTTGGCAACTTTCAATGCTCCTGTGGGCAATGGTCATGGCGCCCGTAGTCATTGTCTGAATTCCCGAAGGCGATTTTGACCCGTTAAGTGCCCGCCCATATAAGTCGCTTGGTGACACACGAAGCGCCACCGTCCCTCCCTCTGCGTCCAGTCACGTCATGGGCGGCGAAGCCGCCACCATCCTGGCGGCCTGCATGATGCGCGGGGGCTCCGGTCGCCTCAGAGAAAGTCTCGGCGCAAGCCGAGGCGGTAGAACATAGTCTTTCAATATTCAATAATGGATGGACGGACGGATGTAAGAAAGGAAGGAAGGATGGGTGGCTGGCTGCATGGATGGATGGTGGGTGTGTGGACGGATGGACGGATGGACGGACGGACGGATGGACGGATGGACGGATGGACGGATGGACGGATGGACGGATGGACGGATGGACGGATGGACGGATGGACGGATGGACGGATGGACGGATGGACGGATGGACGGATGGATGGATGGATGGATGGATGGATTGATGGTCAACTTGTGCAAAAAGTAAAATTCCGAAACTGAAAGAAGCATCGGATCCCCAAGTAAAGGATCTTCATTCACGGCTCCGCTCGTTTTACCCCTCAAACAATGAGCTCGCCTTAAATTGCGCAAATAATTATCTTCTTTGCCATCGTTGCTCCGACGTGTACGTTATCATTCCCCGCTGCCAGCCGCTGCTACCCCCCTCTCCAACTCTTATTGGCCCCCGCATATTTTGAAACCCTGGAATGCTGGGTCAAACAATCTAGCAAGTAGCAACATGCTCCAACATGTTGTTTGTTGATGGCGTCGCAGTGAATGGTGCGAACCATTGGCTGCGAAATCAGTCGGATCGGATCTTGGCTGCTTGTCACAAATTAAACCACGCAATGCCTAGGATGAGACACCCCTCACCTAAGAACACCAGCAGCTGTTCATCCAGGAGACCAATCAAGCAATACTTTAAGTGGTCGAGGGGAAATATATTGCATTTTCGTGGTGATTCTTGTCGGGGGCAACCGTCCTCTTCAATGAACCGGGGGAAGTGGAGGCGGCACAGCTCAGCGCAAAGGCCCACCCGGTCCCGCACCCCTCCCATCCGCAAAATCCCGCCAAGCAACACGACTTCCTCCTTGGTGCCTTCACGAGACATGCAGCAAATCTTCCTGAGCAGAAGGGAGATGCCAGGAAAAGGAAGCCCGAAAGGGGGGGAATGTGGGGTTCCCGAAAATGGGCTGGTTGCTTTCCCTCCCTAGTCTCCCTAGTGTCACACACTGGCCCTCAAAACCCAGTGTTCCACAACCATGGGACGTCCTGACTGAGTCACACACACACAGGGAGATAGAAAGAAAGACGGTACAAAGGCGCAAACGCACTCACACTGTCAGAAAGACTGAGATACCATACGCACACTCACGACACACACACACACACACACGACACACACACACACCACACACACATACACCCACACAACCATCACAACCACACAACCACACAACCACACAACCACACATGCACGCACGCGCGCACACACACACAGAGATACTGCCTGCATCATAGAGATTCCTGGGGGGCCAACATGTTGCGAGTCTACACTAGTCTAAGGGCTGCTTAGACTTTAGCAAAGGCTCCAGTGGACGCGGAAAGGGTCACCCATGCTTACTGAAAAGTTGAAATCTGCTCCAAACAAACACTTCGCCAAAAGACCGAGTAGAAAAAACGTTAACCATTTGGAGGCTTCACCAAACATAAGGTCAACTTTGGGCGACCAACAGATCATCTCAGGGCGGCTTTACGGCACACGGCTGGATTCGAATTCCTGCATTCGGGCTCTACTCACATGGTTATTGCACAAGGGTTGTCATCATCCTTGCTGAACCAGGTGTAGAACCACCTCCCAAAATGGCATTTTTGAGATTTTAGAACGTCTCGCCAAAGAGCGGCACAGCTACTGCCGGCATAGGTGGCATCGGCGTGCGGACCTCCTCCGGGCGGGCGTAGAGACTTTGGCCCTTGCCACAGGAGCCCAGGCGTGCGTAGGCGTTCCTGGCACGCAAGCCCCCCAACTTCCTCAACCCCCAAGGCTAGAAATCAGGAAGGGATACTGCCCAGCAGTTTGAAGCAATGGCAATATCCTTCTTTGTCCTTGAGAGTCACTTGAAGGTCCAAGTATCCCTTTGCCAACAAGGAAAGACGAGGGCCTTTTCAAGAGGATGGTCTCTTTGGAACCTGCCAAGAAGTAAGCCTCTTGGCCAGGCACGCTGTCATTTTGCCGAAACGCACAAGGCTTAGCGGCTTAGTCAGACCAAAGAGCAATCAAGTGGTTTAATGTTGGGGAGTGAATAATAAAGGGCCCCCCCCTCAAACAAAATGGGGGGGGCCAATAGAGGAAACCACAAAAACAAAATGAGGGTCAGACCGGGTCTTCCCTAAGTAGTATTCCAGTAAGTATTGGTTAGTATTGGTTTAGTATAGGTTTAGTATTGGTTTAGTATTCTTGCTGACTGGCTTAGTACTGCTTAGAATTGGTTTAGTATTGGTTTAGTATGCTTGCTGACTGGCTTAGTACTGCTTAGAATTGGTTTAGTATTGGTTTAGTATTCTTGCTGACTGGCTTAGTACTGCTTAGAATTGGTTTAGTATTTAGTATTCTGGTTGACTGGCTTAGTATTGTTTAGAATTGATTTAGTATTGGTTTAGTATTCCTTGGCCCCAGTCTTAAAAAACTTTTCTCAATTAACTCCCCTTAAACAAATTTCATTATTGGCTTCCTGGGTGTTCCCTGTACTACCCCCTTGAAAATTTGGCAGGGTGCAACTTTTAGTAAGGGCTGTCATAAAGAATTTGCAATTAATCCCCCTTAAACAAATCTCATTATTGGCTTCCTGGGTGTTCCCTGTACTTCAATCATCATTTCCTTGTTGGTGGTGGTGGTAGGTTGGGGGGGGCGGGCGGGGCAGAGAGAGACAGAAGTTGCACTGAACTAGGGATTAATTATCAAACTTTTTTTGGGGGAACATGTTTCCGGATTTGTTGCCCCTCACAAAAACTGTTGTGTATTAACTCCCCCTTTTGCTTTTCAGGGGTGTGAATAATTTTGGGACTTTTTTTGTGTATTGACTCCCCATTTATTATTCGCAACCTAACATTACTCCGAATTCAACTCAATAGCCCATGAAATTAACCAATTCTAATACTACTTCCTAAAGTGGACTGGTCCAACAAAGTCCGAACGTGATGTACAACAACTGCATGTGGGTATGTCTCAATAGTAGGGTATTCGAAAATGGGTTGTTTCCTTTTGCTTCCCTAAGCCAACCAAAAGGGGTTACCATGCGGATAAAAGGCAGACCCGCGGACTCCACTGCAATCAATGTTAGCATGCCGGATATAAGGAGACTACGATATGATATGATTTTTGCGGCTGAAGTGAAGACCCAACATATCTTAGATGGGCAACACGAACAAGCGAAGCGCCGTGCTATACATCCCCGTGCCCACAAGCTCAAGACTTGCTCAAACTTGCCGTGGTCAAAGCCTCGCTTGATAGAAAGAACATCTGGATGGCTGCGCCCAACAAGAAGCTTTCAGCATCCATGGGCGCGGAGCTTCTCTCAACAGGCATCCGGAATCGCCTCAAGATAGTTGCAACCAAGAAGCACATTAACCGAGATAGGAACCCTGAAGCAAAACAAACACGTTCAGCGCGCAAGCAAAAATGCTGTCAGCGTGATAGGAATAACATTCGGATGGCTGAAACAATACACACACCTGCAGATGGTTGTGACCAAACAAACGCTTTCAGCGTGATAAAACGGACTTTCGGATGGTTGCGAAAAAAGCACACATACACACACACACACACTCGCAGCGCGCAAGCGGGGATGCTAAGCTAACGGGAATCACCGCGAAATGGTGCAATTAGGGTGAAACCGCCCCGCTTTCCGACCTGCTGATTGGTGAGGCGGCTGGTGACAAGCTCCGCTGCGTGGTCCGCAATTGGCTCCCTCCCAGCTGCGAGCGGCCTGGAACAAAGCAAATCAGCAGAGGGGCTTGTTCTGGGGTCCAATGCAGATTCAGAGCCATAGCAAAAGGCATAGAAAAGTTATGGCCCTGAATGGTCCTTGTCCACGCAGGCAAAGAACCACATACAGAACAGTTGCGCGGCACGCAATGACTTGTGCCATATGTATTTAGGCCTGGGTCAATTTAAGCATGACACAACAAGGGCAAACAAACACGCAACATGTGTTCGCCTGCACCCGGATAAAACCATGTGCAGCCAGATTTGGTTCCAGGTAAGGCTTTTTGCAAGTATGGAGGTTATGTGCCTCTTGTATAAGGGCATGAAATACTAACAAGCCTATACTGGTAGTAGACCAGCATCCATACCTCCAAATTCCAAACATCATGCATGGAAAGGTCCTTGAATACCATCGCAGCCCAGGACAAAAGGCGCCGTTGCTTCAAACAAATCCTCGCAACATTCGAGACATGTCTCTCATGGATCCTTCGGGCTCGGGTAACCACCATGGCTTATCCAGGATAAGCCTAGGAGAGGTTCTTGATTTTAGAGAATAACAGCCCCCCCCCAATAGCTCCATTGCCATCACAGAATTCCCCAAAGAATACGTCCCAAAGCACATGTCTCACAAAGGGAACCTCCAAATCAGCTTCTAAATGTGATGTGTCACATGCCACGTGGCCAAATTGGGTGTGTGCTTCTTGAGGGCACCCTGTTAACCTTGGTGTTCACCGAAACTTGGTCAATCTTGGTTAAACCAAGGTGAAGACCTTGTGGGTTGCCACATGAACCACATCACATCCAGAAAAGCCCCTGGCTCGTGCACATGCCAGGTCCGTTGAAGAAACATTTCAAACCATGGAAGGCATGCTTGCTACATCCAACGACTACACAAGCATGTGGCCTCATGTGCTTTGCAAGTTGTCCATCGTTTCCATCACTCCATGTGCCATACAAGAACCCCGCCCCACCCTTTAAATTTAAATATCCAACCCCCGTGCAACTACCAAACCCTTTTGGAGCAAACGTATCCAAACCAGTTGTGTCGACCTTTGAGAAATCAGTCAACGACATGTATTCTATAACAAAGATACTCCTTGAGGTGGCACTCTCAGCCCCAAGCTGGGCTCATCAACATCCCAAGTCCAAAAAGTCAAAAGATCCAACACCAAATACAGCCAAAAGTTATATGATAAAAGAAAAACACGCTCAAGTCCAAAGTCAAAAGTTCCAAAACCAAAACGACTCAGGGACTGCGACACGCCCTGACTCGTTCGATCTGTGTCCGAGCGGCTCTCGTCAAAGGCCTCCTTGGTGGCAGTGTGGCTTCGTGTCAGCCGTCCTGGCCGTCGCTGCGCGCTTCGCTGCGCGCTGCGCGGCCGTCGCTGGCGCCGGCAAGCGATCCCCGCCAAAAACAAAAAAACAACCGCAAGTCATGGCTTCTACGGCGTTCCTGAAATTCAAAGAAGCAAGCTTTCCTGGTGGATCGTTGATTCCTGGCTGTTTTTGTTCTCTCTCTCTCTCTCTCTCTCTCTCTTTATGTCTCTCTGGCCGCTGCGATTTGTCAAGGATAGGCCTGACGAACTAGTAGCAAGCAAAAAATCAAGCTTGGTCTTTCCGGGTTCAGCGAGGTGCGGCACGGTCATAAAGGGTTGCATGCACCAAGGTCTTTCTGCAACCCTTGCCAAGCCAAGCCCTTTTTCAAATTAGACAAAAGGGAATTTGAGCGCGACTCATTCGTGGAAGGAACTTCCTACGCGTCAAGGCTGCCCTGCCCACGTAAGCCATAATCAGCACTCTACTCGCACCTTTGTAGCAAGATGTAGCAAGGGTGTCCCTTTACTAACCTTCATCTACCATGTTTGGTGATTGACTGACGCATGTGGCGGAGCTCACCTATAGGACTAGACCGAGCTTACCCGTCATGAAGGTCCTCTGCTGGGGTTGCTCACATTTCTAGCTTAATTAAACTCCAACATTCTCCAACCCATTTTCTTTCATCCATCCGCCCGCACAAAGATAATTGCACCATCTACTTTCATCCCGTATTAGGAATTGTCATTTGTCTCAGTGTAGGGCAACCCCTGAAATGGGTGGTTTCATGTTGGTTTCTCCTTAAATCAACATGGGCCAAGCAAATATGCCATTCCTGCTGCAACCAGGTCCTTTCCACTATCTAACCGGCTCTTTGGTCGCCTCGCGAGCAAGCAAGCCGAATGCTGTGAAGCAGGGCGCAGCTGACAAGAAGCCGCTTCGCCCACACGTTTAACCCAAATCTTTCACACCTATGCCATCAGAGCGATTCCTCAGCGAATCATGCCAAATCTACGCCGGCAATGCACTGTGGCATATCAGTATGCATTGATACACAGGCAACACCCTATGCAGCAAGCTGCAATTATCGTTCAAATGTCATAGTAGTTGCAACGCAACAAAACACTGCAACAAAATGCTGGTGTGTTGAGGCGGCTGCAAGGGCAGAGCAAGATGTTGTTGCCATCGAAGCGTCAGCCAAGGCCCGTGTTCTTAGTTGTATTATGCTCACACTTGGGCACTTCAATGGCGAGCAAGCGATACGCTTATCCGCAAACGGACCTTTTCGTGGCCTTTCAACCACGTCATTCTTTACATGCATCTCGATGTTACGGTTGAAATGTTTCCAGATATCTTGGGCAAGAAAATGTTTGGCCTCTAGAACGCTCTGGTCGATCTGTCTCATGGACGATTTTGTCGGGTCCTTGGGGCAACCACGGCGGGGCGCCTGCCGGAGACATCGTGTTAGTCATAAGCAAAGGTCAGGCGAGAGCATGCTTGCACTCTCAAGGGGCGAACTTCCTCCTGAAACGTCAACTTCCGGTTCTGGCCTGGAAACCAGTTCGAGAATTTGAGGACAGCTAGGCTATCATGCTACAGCTTCGGTTATTCAGGGCAAGCTTGCCAGCAAGTCCGAAATGCAAGTACATTGCGCCAGTGGCGTCATGCTTTAAGCAATCCCAGCTTGCGCCAACAATGTTGCGCAAATTAAAGCGGCAAAGTAGCAAAGCGCTGCCTCAGCTTGTATTGAACTACCGCATCATGACTGAGCGGGCCTGCAAAGTGGTTTTACCGCTTGGTGGCTAGCAGCTGCGCCATATGATACATATGCGCAAGTATGGATGAACATGCGCAGGATCTCTGCTCTTTGAACGGCCAGTGGCTTCGCGACAACCTTCATGAGTAGCGCCCTCATCGTGCAAACAAGCGCCGACCCAGTGTAGGCTGCAGATTTCAAGCACTGTTTGTAGGAGGAACCGCAAAAGGCCACCAGTCAACAAACCAAGGTGCTGCTTAGAACTGGCGATGGTAGCTGGCAAAGTAAGCTTCTTGGTAACCACATGCACTTGGCAGAAAATTAGGTTGCCGGTCGGATGAATTTGGCTTGCTGGCGATGATGTATTTTCGATGAATTGGCTGGCCCTTTGGCTGCCGGAGCATGATGAGTAGCCAAGTGGTTTTGGCTAGGGGTGATTGGTAGCCAAAATGGCTTCGCTGGGGGTGATTGGTAGCCAAAATGGCTTCGCTGGGGGTGATTGTTGGCCAAATAGGTTTGGCCAGGGGGGATTGGTGGCCGAAAAGTTTTGGCTGGGGGGGATTGGTAGCCAAATTGGTTTGGCCAGGGGTGATTGGTAGCCAAAAAGGTTTGGCTGGGGGTGATTGGTAGCCAAAAAGTTTTGGCTGGGGGTGATTGATCAACATGTTGTGGCTGGGGGTGATTGTGGCCAAATAGGTTTGGCTGGGGGTGATTGGTAGCCAAAAAGTTTTGGCTGGTGGTGATTGGTAGCCAAAAAGTTTTGGCTGAGGGTGATTGATGGCCAAAATGCTTTGGCTGCGGGTGATTGGTAGCCAAATAGGTTTGGCTGGGGGTGATTGATGGCCAAATAGGTTTGGCTGGGGGTGATTGGCAGCCAAAAAGGTTTGGCTGGGGGTGATTGGTAGCCAAAAAGCTTTGGCTGGGGGTGATTGGGTTTCCAGAAACCCCGTCACAATCTGCCAAATGCACTTGGCCAGCCAGGGCAGTCAATCAACGCCGGCACAAGGCGGGCGCAGCCAGAATTGTGATTGGGTTTCTGCAAACCCAATCACAATTTCTCAGTTAAAAAGCCTTGTAATCACTCGCGGATCCAAATAGCACAGGTCGTAGGATGATTGATTTCTTAGTTGGCTTTGTCAGTGTGATTGGGTTTCAAGAAACCCAATCACAATTCTGGCTCCGTCCCCCTTGTCCCGACGTTGATTGACTGCCCTGGCTGGCCAAGTGCAGTTGGCAGATTGTGACGGGGTTTCTGGAAACCCAATCAAACCCAGCCAAAACTTTTTGGCTACCAATCACCCCCAGCCAAACCTTTTTGGCCACCAATCACCCCCAGCCAAACCTATTTGGCTACCAATCACCCCCAGCCAAACCTATTTGGCTACCAATCACCCCCAGCCAAACCTATTTGGCTACCAATCACCCGCAGCCAAAGCATTTTGGCCATCAATCACCCCCAGTCAAAACTTGTTGGCTACCAATCACCCCCAGCAAAAACTTTTCGGCTACCAATCCCCCCTGGCCAAACCTATTTGGCCAACAATCACCCCCAGCCAAAACATTTTGGCCATCAATCACCCCAAGCCAAAACATTTTGGCCACCAATCACCCCCAGCCAAACCTTTTTGGCTCCAATCACCCCCAACCAAAACAATTTGGCAACGAATCACCCCCAGCGAAAACTGTTTGGCTACCAATCTCCCCCAGCGAAGCCATTTTGGCTACCAATCACCTCTAGCCAAAGCCACTTTGCTACTCATCATGCTCAGGCAGCCAAAGGGCCAGCCAATTCATCGAAAATACATCATCGCCAGCAAGCCAAATTCATCCGACCAGCAACCTAATTTTCTGCCAAGTGCATGTGGTTACCAAGACGCTTACTTTGCCAGCTACCATCGCCAGTTCTAAGCAGCACCTTGGTTTGTTGACTGGTGGCCTTTTGCGGCTCCTCCTACAAACAGTGCTTGAAATCTGCAGCCTACACTGGGTCGGCGCTTGTTTGCACGATGAGGGCGCTACTCATGAAGGTTGTCGCGAAGCCACTGGCCGTTCAAAGAGCAGAGATCCTGCGCATGTTCATCCACACTTGCGCATCTGCATCATATGGCGCAGCTGCTAGCCACCAAGCGGTAAAACCACTTTGGCAGGCCCGTGCGGTAGTTCAATACAAGCTGAGGCAGCGCTTTGCTTTGCTGCTTTAATTTGCGCAACATTGTTGGCGCAAGCTGGGATTGCTTAAAGCATGACGTCACTGGCGCAATGTACTTGCATTTCGGACTTGCTGGCAAGCTTGCCCTGAACAACCGAAGCTCTAGCATGATAACCTAGCTGTCCTCAATTTCTCGAACTGGTTTCCAGGCCAGAACCGGAAGTTGACGTTTCAGGAGGTAGTTCGCCCTTTGCGAGTGCAAGCACTTACTCTTGACTTGGCCTGCTCTCGCCTGACCTTTGTTTATGACTAACACGATGTCTCCGGCAGGCGCCCCGCCGTGGTTGCCCCAAGGACCCGACAAAATCGTCCATGAGACAGATCGACCAGAGCGTTCTAGAGGCCAAACATGTTCTTGCCCAAGATATCTGGAAACATTTCAACCGTAACATCGAGATGCATGTAAAGAATGACGTGGTTGAAAGGCCACGAAAAGGTCCGTTTGCGGATAAGCGTATCGCTTGCTCGCCATTGAAGTGCCCAAGTGGGAGCATAATACAACTAAGAACACGGGCCTTGGCTGACGCTTCGATGGCAACATCTTGCTCTGCCCTTGCAGCCGCCTCAACACACCAGCATTTTGTTGCAGTGTTTTGTTGCGTTGCAACTACTATGACATTTGAACGATAATTGCAGCTTGCTGCATAGGGTGTTGCCTGTGTATCACTGCATGCTGATATGCCACAGTGCATTGCCGGCGTAGACTTGGCATGATTCGCTTAGGAATCGCTCTGATGGCATAGGTGTGAAAGATTTGGTTAAACGTGTAGGCGAAGCGGCTTCTTGTCAGCTGCGCCCTGCTTCACAGCATTCGGCTTGCTTGCGCACGCCGCAACCAAAGAGCCAGTTAGATAGTGGAAAGGACCTGGTTGCAGTAGGAATTGCATAAATCCGTTTGGATCAAAGACGATTGCCCCTCGCCTGGTGCTCCGGCCCCGACCTCCGGCGCCGCCATCTTCGCCGGCGTTGCCGGCGTTGGTACAGTCTGCGGGGTCGCGGTGACCGGGGGCACCCGGCTGTTGGGCCGGGAGCAAGGCAGCCGCGCCTGAGAGGGGATGGCTTCAAGCTGAATTCATACGTCATCCTGGATTTTGCTATGCCAGCTGGTTCGACAAAGAACGGAGCCGTTGAATCACATTGAAGGCTGTCGTCTTGCAACGGGCAGGAATCGCCATTCAAAACAAGGAAGTCACCTGCCAAAGGAAGCGCGTTTGTTTTCCACTAAGGTCAAGGGCTTCAAACGCTGAGTCAAACGATACTGCCACATTCCAACTGGCCCGTTCCGGATGTCCAAGCGCAATGCGCCAAGCACGGCAAAATATTCATATTGCTATTTTTCGGCAGAGATGACGCCCACCCTTCGGTGCATCAATGCACCATGCACTGCCTTCCATGAATTCATGACCCGAGCCGAAGCCCTTGCCAAAAGATGCCCAAAGACCTGTTAAACAACGCTGTCTGAGATAATTGTCACAAGCAGCAAAGAAACCAAAGTTTGTAGCTAAAGATTTGCCTCCCAACACTTGCAGCTGCAACACTCGAGCGCTTGTCGCCTGAGAGAAAAAACAAAACACCAAATGCTGACGGCGACTGAGATGCCGATTTCCTATATCGAGACGGCAAAGACTTGCTAGCCCCACCCCTCTCCTCAGCGCACATAGGGACATTGGCGGCATTTGCAGCATCTGGCCTGCGGCACTGGTCAGCTGTTTGGGTCTCCCTGGCCTTTCCTCAAAGCCAGCCTCCCAAACACGGAAGTGCAAGCAAGGTCCTGGGGGAGCAGGAATGCCACACCCCTTGTCCCGCGTACCATGTCCCGCGCCCTCCGGTGGAAAGTGGGATGATGATTCAAACTGCCGGGGGTGAGCTCGCTCCCCCAATTCCAATGCAAACTCTATGGAAGACAGGACAACCACAATCTTAAGAGGGGTCTCTTTTGGAGCCCGTTTCAGATTTGCATGTAAATTTGCAAAAGGGGCCAAGGGGTGGGGATTTACCTTGTTCTCCGGAAAGAGGCTCCGCCTCTTGAACTTCTGCACCGCTGCCTCTTGCGCGCTGAGCCGTCCCTCAGTCCAAGCGTAAATGCTGGTGGTGTCACATTCCCAATTCCGATTCAGGCCACCCCCCTAAAGCCCCCCCAGCCAAACTCAAGAAACCACACCCCATGTGTGACCCACAGAAACAAGAGCTACCAGCACTGGGACACCAAATTCTACTGCATTTCACTGGTCGGGCTCTAAGCCCTTGGACAAATCCCCCGAACTGCCCGTCAAACAACTGTATGTATTGTACGTATAAATATATGTTTAAGGAGCCCTGTCTTTTTTGAGTCCAAATGTTCAATCTCTCGAAGGAATCCCGAAGACCCTAGGAAGATTACCTGGCCCCTCAAACTTCATGTTCAACATGAACGCCTGTGGCAACGCCTATATTATACATTCACCCCTTCACAGGAAACTTAGTTGAGTGCAAAGGACAGGTATGTGCGCATCCTTCTTGAACCCATTTGTTGGAACTCCAAAAAGGCAAATACCAAGATGCTGTCAGCTCACAGAACCATCCGCTGCACTCAGCCCGCAAGGCAGACACGCTGGCCTCCTGAGGCAAGCGAAATCCGCAAGCTCTGGCCACAGCCCGGCGAAAGGACAGGCGATGGGCTTTGGCATCTTCTTGGTTGACGTTGGAAAGCAAAATTCAAATTTTAGCAGTTAAGTGGGGATTTCCCACTAAACCACAATAAGCAAAAATGTGGAATGTTTCCCAACAACAACCATGGCTTTAGGGCGAAAGGGGTGGGGTTGATGGCTCGCATGGTGGGATTCATGCACCTGGTGGATTGAAGGTGGGTGCTCACCCAAACGTGATCTCCCGCATAATCAATCTAGTCGTCACTGAACTGGGTCAACATCCGAGGCAGCCAAAACTCTCCCTTGCCCCCACCAGAGTTGAACTGCGCTCCCATGATGCAAACTCGTCATAACCCGCCCTCTTGCAACATGACCCAATTCACAAAAAGGACTATTGAAAAGCTCGAAAGGAGCTAGGGCCAACAGATTCGCTGGGTGGCCCACACACGCATCGGTTTGAATGCCTCGCCGAGCGAGTGAATGACAGACATCGGGGCCGGGACGGGCATCATGCCAAATGTTTGGAGCCTCATTGACATTGTTGAAAAGGATCCTGGCGGCCAGGATTCCCAATGGGATGTCCAATTTAATGGGTCACTCCCAAAAGTAGAAACCGCCGCAGAATGTGCAGGACATATTATAATATCCTGTCTCAGAAGAACATGAACTTGCAAAATGCATCTTTGTAGAGCAATCGTTTTTTGGGGGACCCTTTTTCGGCTTCCATGTGAGATCTGAAGGGAATGCAAATCCACCATGGCCGCCATGGGAGGCATGACTACAGGGGGCGGCGGCATGACGCAGCCAAGCGGCCCAGCCGGAAGCTCGCTCGACGTCTTGCTTTGTGCGATTGCCTGTAGGCAAAGCTGTCAATGCTGGGCCAGACTCAAGCCCCCTGCAAACAAAACAGCTAGCTTTTGCTGGTTGAAACGCACCATGGAGATAAGTCTGGCAATGCATGAGAAAGGCTGGTTGTGTTTTTGTTGGCACTTTCAATCGTTGACAGACTGCACGCGATCATACATAGTCATAGTCATCATCCTCGCACCCGCACAAAGAAGCAAACAGAAACACAGTCACGCGAGTGCCAACACAAACGCGAGCACTGACACGGACTCAGGCACAAAAACAACACACAAACAAGCACAAGTAGCAGGCACAAACATGAGTACACGCACAAACACAATTGCCAGCACAAACGAGGGCAACATGCACAAGCAAGCAAATACACGCCCACACACAGCGACACACACACACACACAAACACAGAGTGACACACAAACCGTGACACGCAAACCGTGTCACACACAAACAGTGACACACACACACACACACACTCTCTCACTCACACTCTCACATACGCACACACAAACCCACAACACACATGCAAAACAGTTGTAGTTAAAGCAATAATGGCTTGAACTGCTGATTTTTGCCAGGGCATCCTTGCCGCTTGGGATTGAACTGCCTGACGAATGTTTTTGTTTGCCCTGTTTTCGTCAAGTCCTGGTCTGGCGTGTCTATCCTCACTGGGGATTCTTGACTTAGGCCAAGCAGCAGCTCTCATCGACCCAACAACTAGATTTGTGGAGAAGGTATGTTCTAGACTCTATGCAGCTATCCACGCTTTTCCGAGTTTTTCCTCTTTAGGCCTAGTTATCCTGTCAACGTCTGTGTGTATGTGTGTGTGTTGCTGTGAGTATCTCACTGCTTGCCCTTGTTCTTGTATGGCTACCGCCGAGAAGGGCGGACTGAGTCCAGGAGAACTCAGGAAGTGAGCATCCGCAATCCGTCTATTCAAAGGGTAGGGATCTGGGCCGAGGCGACCTTCGGAGAACAAAAATAGCGCTGGTAAATGATAGAACCAGACTGACACCAGTGCCATCTTGCAACCAACTTGACCTAAAGCAACCATCTATGGCAGCGGGGTACGCCTAAATTCCACGCGACCAAATCGACAGGCCCTTGGTTACCCGCAAGAAAAAGGTTCCCATCCAAGAACCCCTAAGGAAGGATGGGGGCTGCCCAACAAATGGGGTCCTTGAATGCTGGGCCCAGTTACGAAGTGGTTGACCACCTTTCAGGGTGATAGCAGGCTTCCATTTAGAGGGGCTTGCATTTAAACCCTAGGAGGGCAACAACTTACGGAGCCCGAACACCCAATCGAAGGACCTGAGCGCTTGTCCCCTGCCAAATGGTCACTGCCCTGTTGTTTTACCATCACAGTCACTCGTCAGAGGCACGCGAAGCGGTAGGCTAAAAGGAACAACCCCAGCTACTGTCCACGCAAACATGTTGACCGCCCCTATGGCAAAGTGCTGAGACCCTCCAGCAGCATCTTGAGGTCTGCCACATCACGCGCCCGCGCGTGCTCCTCCAGCTCCAACCTCAGAGAGGGTCGGCAATGTTACTGCGACTTCGGACTAATCTGGCCGCACTACTTTACCATCAAAGTCCCCGCCCAAGTCGTAGTTTGAAGGGAAACAACCCCAGCTGACTTTGATAACCGCAGAAAACAAATAAAATCATGATCCTGGCCAATCCGGAGCATCGTGCCAATCAGGGGTGGCACACCTTTAAGTACGGAACTTATCAACAGTGCATTCCTCTGAGCAGGGTCATCCGGATCAATCCAAAGTCACCATTCAGTGCATATGGTTGGTAGGCGACTATGTCCCACAAAGACTCAAGGCCATGGCTTTGGTGGGTTAGAACTATGATTGCAAGCTTGTTGCTAAGTACCGTGCCCCTTTAAGTGGCAACGAGGATACTTTCTGTAATCGTCCTTATAGTACTTTACACTAAACTATGTTTCACTATTTTGTTGAAGAGTCAAACACTCAGTGTTGTGTTTTGTGGAAGCACATTAGCAGATTTTACATAACTTACTGATATCAAAAAAACACATAATTCTGCAATATGCATCAAATATTATGCTTTCAAACGAAGACAAACAACTGAGGCACACTACGTGAGTCGCCGCATAGCTTGAATCTCTGCCAACCCGAGCGACAAAGCTGTTTCAAGGTACCCTAGGGTTGGTTGGGAAAACTTCGGAAACCACGGATTTTTGGGTTCCGATAGTGAGATTCACGACAACGAGTTGCAGCTGGCCGCTGGAAACACGCAAGCACATTCAAACGCAAAGAAATGAGTCACTGCACAAAACTTGGACAAGACCAAACGCAAATGAGGTCCGAAAAAGCCCCCCGTCTCTGGAAGACACTATATATGACACTAGACAAACATTCGCTTTGGACAACCAGCCCCTTTGCTTGTCCAAGCTCTGGGTACCCCAAAATAACATGTTCTGCTTCTGTTTTCTTGCTCCAACTCCCCGTGTAAGTATGTTCTGCCTCATATGTTTATCTTAAAATAGATGAACATAGAGCATACTGTGGATGCCCGAAATCCCGCAGCACCTAAGACACTCTGGAATGATGATTCTCCTGTAAATGCCCAAATGCATCCAATGTGTTCCATGGTTTCAAGGTGCAAGCGGATTTGGTCCATCCACACGCCCATCGACGAGGCGCATGTGTGCCAAGGTCTCCCAGCGCGCTCGCTCCATCTCCAGGTCCGTGGAGCAGCTCCGAGGGCGCTCCTCCTCCTGTACAAGGGAACTCGATAGCTTTCTGCTCCGCTCAAAGTTTAACTTTTTGTGGTTTAATGGAAAACCCAGTTGGCAACGAGCAAAAGTCCTAACATCCAAGCAAAATGCACCAAAGAGAACCTCACCAGAAGTTGGACCATGTTTTATCAGCTTCCCTCCAATTGGTTTGGATTGTGGTTTGGATTGGTGGTTTGGTGGGTCTTCCCATTTACCGTCCACAAGAACCAGGAGTTCAAATCCCCAAACCACCAATGCAGGGCTAACTGATCTTGGAGAGTCCTCACAAAAACAATGTAAACCGTGGGCCCCTTAACTGCGGGTTGGCCTTTTTCGGAATTGTTTCCCTTGAGTGCTTTTTAAAGCCAACAAAGAAATAAGTCCCAACATGCTGATTTTCATGGTTCGGTGCCCTGTAAAACCACCCAAAAAGGGACACCCTCAAAAAGGACAGCAGACCGGTTTAGAGTAACTTTTCAGGATCCACCTTCTGTGTCTGTTAATTTGCAAAAGAGTAGACCCCTGGTTGGTGTTTTGGATTCGGATTTGAACGCAAATGAGAAGCAACCAACTCCCCTCCCAGCCACCTAGTCTCTGAGGGTAGCTGGGCCGGGCAGCCGAGCGTCGGTTGGGCTCTTCGCCCCCTTCCCGTGGTCCTGGCGCACGAGGAGCGCTTCCGCGGGCTCGAGGGGTTTCAGCTGGGGCAAAGCCGTAACCAGAAAAATAAAGGAACCCGGAAACGAAAAAAAAACCTCCCCCCCCCCCCCCCCCCCAAAAAAAAAAAAAAAAAAAAAAAAAAAAAAACAGGGGGGTGATCCCCATTTCTTGGAAGGGTAGTTTGAGGGCCCAGGGGCATGCTACGTGTTTCAACATGTTAGGGCGCCATTTTCGAAACTCCTGCGAACCTCAGTAGGAACATCGTGGTGTCCACACACACACAGAAGCTGGTCGCCAGCCAAGTCTTTTGACCTTGGGCCCGCGAGCCATGAAAAGGTATGAACTGCTGGGTTTTGAAGGCCTGCGAGAAATGCGACAAATTTGAAGTGGCTAACGCGGGCAAACAATTGTCCAGAACTATGAGATCGGGGGTCGCAGGCGGTCCGGTGTCTCCTCATGGCAGCGCAGTAAGGACTCCATGTTCTGCAGCTGCTGTGACAGCTGCGCCAGTTGCTCGCTGTGGTCCTCCCAAACGCGCAGAAAACGGAGGGCTCTATTGGGAGGCTGGGCCCAAACGAGGTTTGGTGCCCTTTGACCCACTTCCTGAGTGGATTGGCAAAGAAAGTCTTAAACTTTTGTTTACCACTAAAATGGTTTCTCAAGAGGCACAAACCCATGTCATGTCAACGGGATACAACTCTCGGTGTAGGGAAGAACACCCCCCCCAACCAAACAGGGCTCCTATATCTCGCCCTTTAACATCCGTCCACAAAAAGGAACTCATCTCAAAGTTGCCCAAAAGGTGATGTTTCAACCGGCTGCAAAGGAAAATATAGGGGCCTGCCAAGCGCGATCGCTTGCTCCTGCAGCTGGCGCTGCAGATCCATCACGGCCGCCATGGCAAAAGCGTTGCCCCCTCTGGGTTTGCCGGCCGAATGTTGCGGCTGCGGGGCACTCATCGAGTGATCGGCAATGTCTACCCTCACGTTCACAAAGACCTGGCAAACCTGCGGCCACTAACATGGCAGCTGACAAGAGCCCCATGCCTGAGAGGAATCTGATCTTTCAGGTACCCCCACAACGCTATGTCTATGGGAGGAAGTGCAAAGAGATTCCAAAAAAACATTGGAGCCCCAAGTAAAAGACAAGATGTCATTGTCAGCTCGTGCTACGACCGACCTGTGAGCTTGCCATGTAATAGGCAAATCATGCACCTCCCCATAAGTCTCATTCTCATGGAATGCATGGCTTGTTGAAGGTGCTAAATTTCTCGAACAGGACTCCATGTTTTTCAAACATCCCCACCAAAAGGAATGTCACCTACGCGTCAAACAAGCGATGTTCAACATGGCCGATGGATATCTAGGGACCCCGGTAGCAAGCATCAAAAAGCAATGAGGAAGACACCAAAAAGGCCACGAGGCTCCACTGAGGAACCAAGTGCCCCCCCCATCATGTCCTGTCCAGAACTGGAACTTTCTCGCGGCAAACCTACAACGATGCCGCAAGAGCCGCGCTGGTTTTCCATCGATTTGCTTCCTGGCGCCATGTTTCTGCGCCTCCGCACAAACGTAAGATGTCTCTGCTGATGTTTGGGACGCATATTGGACAAATCCCATTTGTCTCTTCCAACACCCTCAAGACTAGAAGGGTCTCAAGCCAAACACGCAGCCTTCACTCGACGTGGAGTCTTTCCACAGCCTAGCATCTTTGTACAGCCGCCCAAGCCCTGCGCGACCCGAAAGGTAGAAGGATCGGATTCTTGGGGCCACCAGTTTGTTGGGGAGCCCGCCAAACGAAAACGTCCCCCCCACCCCCCCAAACGCCCAACAGCGAACGAGATTCGCCGGTTTCCACAAAGGATCCTGTGTCAAGCGGGCGGGCGGTGTGGATTGGACTTTCTTGGCCATCCATGGCGGAGCATTGGCCAACTGAACTCCCTTTCAAGCAGCCGTCTTGGCCGCATCAGGAGCCCGCATGCCTTGGCGAATTTGGACAGCTGGGAAGCTTTGGAGGGTATCCTTGTTGGGACTGTTTCAAATGGAAGTCATGGGCTGATTGGATATCTTCTGGGGGTATCCTTTTGGATGGCTTCACATCAGGGTACCCAAAGTCACCCCCCAGCGACCCCCAATTCAGAGGTAGTGCTTATAAGGCTCCAAGCACACCTCAGCCCTTTCTCCCATTCTGATCCGAACAACAACCGTTTCATGTTTGACTTGCACCCGTGATACCAGAGCAGGACTCCAGTTTCAGTGTACTCACTCATTGAGCGTGAGCCAAAAGCCAAGTATGGCCCTGAATTCAGGCTCGGTTCTCTAAGGCGTCGTGATTACATGGTGTTTGTCAACCGACCCACTAATTCAACAGCGTGTTGCTACTTTGTCCCTAAAAAAACGAGTTTGGTGAGCCAGTAGAAAATCCAGGGCCGACATTCACGAAGACTGAGCGTGCTTCTTAAATGTTTGTTTCTAACGTTCTCAGTCCTGTCCTCTTGAGGACACTGTCTTACTTGCTTTTTGGAGTGACTCGAGTGGTTTAGAGTGATTTAGAGTGCTTTAGGGTGAGGTAGAATAATTTAGAGTTCTCAATGATACATTGCATTGAAAACAGGGGCCTGTTGTTGGAGGGTCACTCTAGGTACCCCTGACCAAAGGTAGCCAGTTTGAAACGTGAAGCCATTTGGAGATCAACACATTTGGGACAAGAACGATGCACAGAAAGCATCTAAGCATTGGGTGAAAGCTGTAGGAATGCACTGAGACGGCAAATGGCCTCCAACATGAGACTGGCAGGAATGTTTATAGGGCCGATGACAACACAGTCACTGCCATGTTGCCGATTGCCGGCTGCCACTTGAAAGGCACCAAAAGCCCTGACAAACTCACATGCTAAATTCGGAGGACCCCACGACCGAAGCTAACCTAGGCCACTCAGAAAGTCTGACTCTCCTGACCTTTGATGGGGCTAAAGGTCACCCAAAGGCGACACGAACCGGGATGTCACATTTAAACATCAACCCGCCAAACGATCGATTCCACCAGCTGTAGTTTTGGGACCCCGCATTGGCCAGGGATAATGGGACACCAAAAGGAAATCAGCCACTTTAACAATGGCCAAACATGTGCTTGTTAATTCCAAAAAAAAAGGACACGCCTGGACTCCTGATCCTGAGGTCAGGGCCATAAAGTGTGGCGCGCAAGCAGCACGCATTCACCTGCGCGAATGCGAACATGGCGCCTCCTAAAGGCGCCAACAAAATCAATTTCTTCAACCGCGTAGGATTCCAAAACAGTGATCCGGATCCCCTCCACACAAATGGGGCGGCCCCCTATCAATCGACAAGAATCGATCAGAGGTTGACCTACTGATTTAAAACCCAAGGGTTTGATCTAGCCACTGCTAAAGGAAGACAATCAATTACGTAAAAAACAAAAAAAACATGTTTGACAGCGTCGCACAGGGTCACCACGACCCACTTGCCCAGTGCCCCTCTCCAAAAAAGCCTCAGTTTTGCAGCCAGGGCCATTTCTCGGCCCAGCTCTGGAATGCATCCCGAGAATTCTAAGGTTCAGATGCTGCTTCCAATTTGGTCAGCACGTGGCATCCTTTTGGAGACACGCCCCGATTTCACGTCACCCGCGAAAGGGGCCCATTTTCTGCTTGAGACTTGGGCCCTGGCCCATGTGCCGGGATCCGGGTAAAGCCAAACACACGTGGCCACCACCTGAGCTCGGGAGGGTTTGGCCCCCATGCTTCATCATTCCTCAAAGGACACATCCCAAAACCAGCTGCTGTACAAGAGGATGGTCTAAATGAGTTGCCGCCTTTGGTTTTCCTGTAGCAGGGACAAGCATCGAATCGTTTACTTCAGCCAACCTTCATCCACGCCTTGCGTTAAAAAAGCTTTGGTGGGCTGCCTCCCAGACCTCCAGTGCTGGCGAAAAAGGGGCACCCTGGTTGGCATTGATCTTTGAGCTTGACTCCGGATTCACACACCCGTTTTACGAACAGGGGGGTGTTCCACTCCAAAAGTGATGAATCCCAAAAAGGGAAACCCCTTGATCAACCAGGGGATTATTCACCCGGGGTTCCCACAAAGAAAAACCCACGTGAAGCAAGCCAAAAACAGCACAGAAGGTCTGGGCTTAAAAGCTCTGGCTTTGCAGCTTTGAAGGCATCGGCTTGGCCCAAATCTCAGGTCATGACACTGAAAACAACATGTCCCGCATCGTAGGCATATTTTGTGTGCCGCCTTGAGAATTCCAAGGCCGCTGCTGGCTCCACCAGCACCACCCAGGCCTCAAAGCTGTGGGATTTGATCCAAACCAAGACCATCGACAGGGGCAAAGCGAACGCCAGCAAACAATTTGCTCAGTCGCTCAGCCCTGCGCCCTGGACACGCCGTTGGTGTTCGCAGCAAAGACCTCAAGTGGCAGGCGATGGCTCCGTGAGCCGAGACATCCTGGTTGAACCAGATCTTCACGGGTTCAAGCCCCCTTGTGAGGATGTACGTTGACCCCTTTCTGGCTCCATAAAAATATCTGAAGTACATTCTCAAAAGGCAGTAAGGGGCCCGCTGGGGATGGACAATCAAAAACAATCCCAGTCTCAGCTTGGAATGATAGGAAAAAGCGGACGAACTAAGAGAACTCGCACACCAACATGAATCAATCCAAACGCAGGCGCCTAGGCAGTACCTCACTCACCCTCCTTTACTCCTTTGAGGTTTTCAAGGCTTTTACCCTGAAGGCTTTCAGGGGCATGGTCCAGCGGTCTGGTGAAACCGTCGAACCCTGGACTTCCCAAGGCGGGTCTGCGAATTCCTCCCCGAGCCAGTGGCCCCAGTTCCGCGAGAAGAGGCAGCTCCGCCCAGGGAGTCTGCAAACCTGGCGACAAAATCCCCGCCTTGGGTGTGTCTTTCCTTAGGATCGTATTTTGTATGGAAGGGGCGACCTCAATGAATGCACGTCCTCTCAGGGATTGTTTGATTGAGATTGGCAAATCACAGCAATTAGTGCAGATGTATGGTGGAGGGCAAAGGGAGCTTTATACAGCACATGCCCATTTCTTTTGCAGCCAGCTGGCGAACGATTTACCCGATGAAGCTATGGCCTTCCCCATGCAACAAGCGACTCAACTAAGCGGGCTGCCCAGGGTGGCCACGTGTTTCAACCAGGGAGCCGCGGGTTGGGGATCTTTACGGCCACTTTATGTAGCAAAGCTGGAATCTGGATGATCCATGATGAAACACAGTCAGACGGGAATGGCCCCATGTCGGTATCACAAAAGAGTGCATGTCTTTCTCTTTTCTTTCTTTTTTCCTGAGGGTACCACGTTCTGGTGGTTTTGAAGGAGATGAAAATAAATAACACAATGGGATCCGCATCCCGGGATGCGCCGGCAACTTGTCCACAAAGAAGGACAAAAGGGGCTGGGCTTCAATGCGATACGATGCGCCTGAGGAGAACGCATTTCTCATAAGCCTTGTGATGCCAAAGCGAGCAATCCCCATGACTAATTTACTCAAAGGCCTCTCCTGGTATCACATGGCGGGCCTTATACCCACGACCACAATTCCCAGAAAGTGGCCCTGTAGGAGCGCTTGAATTTTGGCCGGCCAAGCCACGGCTGAGCCGGTCCTAAGATGTTTGGACTGATTCCAATGTTCAATGTTGCCTTGACTCCGGGCCAGCTGGAAAGGAAACTGCTTTCCGAGTCGTTGCTACCAGGGAAAAGCGGACTTGCTCCTTAATGGTAGTTGACTAGGCAAACCCACCAATAAAAAGGGAAACAAACACATTGCTCGGTCCAAACGCCACGAGACACATTGTAGCTGTGGCAGGGATTGACCTGTTCAATCAAAACCAAGGACTCCATCCAGGTGGTTGGTTTTGGCTTTCTTTGATCCTCTGAAGTGGCCCCTATGTGTGAACCGCCC